TTCATAAAAATCAAAAATACTTTCAGAAAACCGAAGAATTAAAAATCCCGCTCACCAAAGAAAGGTGCATCTTAAAAAATTACGACGTCCTCAAAGGTCTCTCCTACTTTATTAATAGCGCCATCAGCTTTTCAGTCCTGAGTTGGATGGCGGAAGCAATTTTCTACTACTCCATCGGCCTCCACGTCTTGGTCTATTCGGAGTCAATTTTTAGCCAAATTCGCACCTGGGTATTCATGTCGAATATGGGGATCGTGTTTATTCTATGTGGCGACATTTGTAAAACGGTGGAAGATTCGTTGGTTGAATGGCTGGATTTTAAGGCGGGATCCACCCCAGAGAAATCGGATACTTTGACACCGAACAGATTTCAAGCCTTACTCCACCAAGCAAAGTCTCACGGGGTGGGAATATCCGGACATATTTTCATGATGGATTACACCGCTGTTTTAAGTGTAAGTGATGACTATGAATGATGCCAGTTTTCTAACAAAAACAAAGGTAAATTCCTAATTTCTTCATTGAAAATTTTACCGTTTTTGAAATTTTAGTTTGTGGCAACGATGATCACATATTTCGTCGTGTGTTCAACGTCAACTTAAACGAAAGAAAATTTACAATGTCTGAATCTTAATTCATTAAATTCATACATAGATTGTAATGATATACCTCAAACAATTTAATGTCGTGTATGCATATTTAAATACACAAATCGTAGATATATTTATGTGTGTTCCTATTTATGTACATAAATATTATTCTAATTAAATGCATTATCCATCCAACAGCGTGAATAAGTAAATTCATGCATGAATACTTGTTTATATACTTCATAATGTGCGTATTTATGTAAATATATATTAATGATTGACACTGAACTTTATTTTTTAAATATCAATACTGCGCCCCCGATACCTCATACATATGTACATACATAAATGGTGTGCATGCAGCGTTTCATCTGTTCTGAGGAATACATATTAAGCTCCGTTTACAAAAAGTAGTTATATAACAGTGTCATTTTTGTATAAAGTTTCACTTATGATTAGTAATTGATTAAGTGATTACTGATTACGCTCTGGGCCGGACCCAGTTTTAATCAGGGGTCAAAAATTAACTACGGATAAGGCTAATCTGAAGTTTTTAACCTAAGCTTTGTGGCGTATATTACATACATTGCATACATAAAATAACATTATAACAAAACATTTGCGCAGTAACACAATCAAGGCAGGTTTATGTAGATAGTCACTAAAACGTCAAGCAAATATTTTTACAAACAATGCCTGAACTATGTATGCATAAGCAGAGGTGGGCAATATACATGTATATTGAATATATAAGTATATTATATACAGTATCTCTAAGATTTCCCATTTTTTGGGCCTTGTTTATCATCTTATACAAACACGAATGTATGACTGTCGTCTCAATAATTCTCAATTCAAAGATCGAAATAGGCGAGGAATATTAACTTGCTATGAAATTAAGAGTCAACTGGGAATAGCTTCGAACTTGATTAATACACAGATTAATATAAAGAGGGCGGAATTATTTTTATTTGACAATTTTTGCATGCGATTCCGCAAAATTTTGGCACACTTTAGTAGCTTGATAATAAATTTGGGGGCCCCATGACAGATATGAGACTTTTTCTAGCCAAATTTTCTAGAAATATAATTTGTGGCACATATTTATTTGTTATATTTCAAAAATATAAAAAATCAGTTTTTGGCTAGAAAAAGTTTCACCTCTGTCAAGGTGCCCACACATTTATTATTAAGCTACTAAAATTTGCGAAAATTTTGCAGAATGGCATGCAAAAATCGTTCGAACCCCCCAAAAAACACCTTCCAAGATTACGTAATCTTCCAGATTACATAATCTGGAAATAACTCGGTTACGATTATGACCAGAATCGAAGATATATATTTAAGTCTACTACTGACTGGTTATCAATTTATAACCGACCGGTGAGAAATTTATTCCAAATCGGCAATAAATAACCGTAACCTAATTAACTTCGGCATACTTACATAAATAACCACCTACTTGCACATAGTTTCCCCAAGCTACTTGTTATGCGAGTACTTCATAATAATTACCTAATAATAATTTATCCGCAGTATCAGTGAATTTATTTTTCGAAATTCGTTGACCAAACTTAAGTATAGCAATATATACACTACACCAGGGTTGGGGGCCCCCGCTGCGCGGGGGCCCCTAGGTCGCACCTAACCTACATACCCTATTTATCCGCCACTGCTTTTTGTATATTGTATAAATACAATCTACTTCATAAAACTATAAGTACATATGTACATACATAGATGCGATTAATACAGTTTTATAATTCGATACAATCGTGTATTAATAAGTCGTTAAAATTAATTGCTCTTAAATACAATTATGTATAAAATCAGATATTATCCCAAAATTTGAATAAATCGGCCCAATTCCAAAACTAACTACTAAATTATCTCTGAAACTATAATTTCAGTACCATATCTTAATTGTTGTAAATAAAGTTTTTTACACTCTGGACAACAAAACATTTTACGTTTAGTATAACTAAATTGCTCTACTGTAAGTACTGAAAGTATTTTTGACAGCCGTCTGTAGAGTTGTGTAGATTTGTGGGCCAACTTAAATTGGTTCCGCCTATGTTCGAGCTGCTACTTGGAAGATTAGACTGTGACAAACTATGTAGAAACAGGATAACTGGCTTCGATGGCCTCCAAGTCAGATAAGACAAAGTTGCAAATTGTTCAATTTCCAGGTGTCCGGAAGCGATTGAATTGGTGTTCCCATCTCTATACATACATGGAATAAATGACAGTTAAAAATAACCGAAATACTTAACTCATCAGTTATATTTTTAAAATTTTGCTTAGAAAGAAAATATTTTCACCTTTTAATACAGTAAAAGTAAAACTCGATCACTTGATTCAGAGGCGGTGTCGCAGCAATCTTTCTCCTTTCAAGCTGTCACTTTTTCTGGCAATCTGGGCGATGTTTGTATTAGTTTTAATTCGTCAAATAACTGAATAAAATGAATTTCTGAATATGAAAAATTTCTTTCAACACAAAAAGATGAGGATTTCTACCTGTTTACATATCAGAACTCGTTAAGTGCTCCAAAATCTGTCCAATGGAAGGCTGTAATACTGCAACAGGCGACTAGTTGAAGGAGATTGAAAGATGACAAAAATTGCAGTGTCTCCAATAGAAAAAAAATGATTAAAATAATTTACCATATATGTAGAGTCCAGCGTGACCTCAAAATTTCGCTCTTGACCAGGAAATTGATGGATTTTATGCTACTCGAGAAGGATGGGAAAGACTTCGCACGATCTTTTTCCCTAAATTTATTTTAAATTTATTTTACTACAAATATTTACCTATTAATTCATAGGAAAATATTTTACTTAAGTACTTAAAGATTTAAGTCGAAAATTAGTAAACTTACACGTTCCTATCAAATTCAGATACTTAGTTGGGGAGACAATTAATTTCTTCAAACTCGGACTGTTTTTTTCTCCATGTCGCTGCTTGCGGTGCAGAAAGCAAGCTAAAAAGTTGAGCTTGCCGGGCTGAGATTGTTACATTTTTGTGATAAAGACCTCACCGAAAGTAATTGAATTTGTCTCCGCTGTGTGTGAAATGCCGTCACCGTTGACGGAGAAGATTCAACTCCGCTCTAGTGTTAACTGGGTGTTAATTTTAACATAATACGGTTAGAATTTTATTCCGTACTGTATTAAATTTAATACTGCTACATGTCGTTTGCCTTAATATGAACGGTGTTAATTTTCCATGCGCACGGATACAATTTTGGAGACAATATTATTTCCGTGCCGGTTATGTTTGTTATCACGGAATGACGGTTATGATTTTTTTGTGAGTTTTTACACCGCTTTGCTAAGAGTGTAACAATGAGTATATCAGGCTTCCTTGGTCCTTCCTTAGATTGTTGTCACATATTTATATAGTTCAAGATATTTAGAAAATACAAATAATTCTAAGCACAACACTAGGTACACAAAAACCACTGATTTTTTTTAACTATGAATAAAATAAAAAGCGCTCACATTTCCATACTGGAATCGATGGATTAAACCCGTATAATGATTCTGCTATTGGAAAGGGCAAACTTTTAATTTTGAGGCAATTTATAAATCAGCGATTTTTGGGTAGTGGTTCGAATTTTGAACTAAAAGTTATTTTAAGTTAATTAAAAAAATAGTAGGTGTGTTGAATTCTGCATGTTAAAAAAATCTGGAAACGAACATGCCTGAAACACCCATTATAACAAAGCCCTACGTTCACATTTTCATATTAACCAATTTCTGTCAATTTTTTAAATTTTATAACGTTTTTTAATTATAATTAAGTGCAATTGCATAATTGTTTAATACATTGTGCAACTGGTAACAAAAATTGGCGTCCCACAATACGAGAAACCCGGAAACTTTCCCGACTCATAAGCTTTCCAGATATGCATGATTATCTAACGATAAGTGAAAATTCAATTTAATTTTGTGCTGGCGACTTTTGCCAGTCACCGCCCGTTAAGGTTCAACAGAAATTTTTTAACTGAAAACATTAAATTACGCTTTGTATCTCATTTTTTGCAAAGTATATTGGAATTGTATATTCAATATACATGTATAGTATATTGAAGCTAAAATCCTGTATATTATATACGTATATTTGTATATTGTATATTTCAATTTTATAGTATATTGTATATACTATAAAATAGTATATACAACTATATATAGTATATTGAGTATATTGAGTATAGTATATTGAGACGAAAATTTGAGTATATTGGCGAAGTATATTCAATATACATTTTGATGTATATTGCCCACCTCTGTGCATAAGACAGGGACGTTTACTGACCAAAAGATATTGAGTAATCATTTGAAAAAGGGATAAACTGGTAAATAAAGATATAAATTTGCAAAGTTAGTACGCTTACTACTAGTTTATACATAAATGCATATACATATATTGTCCAGTTAATTTCAGTAATCCTTCAGTTCACCTTCGCAATTGACCGAGAACATACCAAACACAATTGTCAACGTTGAAAGATGAAAAGGTAATTGTGAAGCTACAATTTTTAAAAATATGTAAGTAATTTGCCTTATTTTTTTCAATTAATTACATTGTGTAACTATTTATTAGGTTCATCAATTTCGGACTTCTTGTTATTTTCTTCCTTTTAACGTCTGTTGTCCTGATTACGAATGGACGAACAATGATCAAAATTCAGCCAAGATGTCAAGTACCCCCTTTATGCTACTGTGATCCTTTGGTACAAATATATATTTATCCTACTAAAGTAAACCATTGCAAATTAAAAACAATAATCTTCGTAACTTTATTGCAGTGCGTCCCATACAATGGACTTGAATGTGAAGTTTGTTAATGATGAAGTTGGTCGCAACGCGATACAATTATTAATTATCAGTTAACTACATATCTAACATTAAGATCTATGTACACATGTGACATGAGCAAATAATTATTAAATATTCTACAGATAACTCATACAAATGAAACTGCTAACAAACCTTCAAAAAATTTAACAAATAAATTTAATCTTCACTATTTACTTGCATGTACCTGCGTCCCTTTACAACAAATAATACGATTAATGAAACCAATATCCAACCAATTGTTGCCATAAAGCCGTCCAAAACCACAGGGTGCGTAATATCCCAACCTCTGAGGCAAACTGATCTTATCGACTCAACCATCAATGTAGTCGGTATACAGCGATATAATTGACGAAGTGCCCACGTAGTGGTTTCCAAAGACCATGACATTCCTGTTATAATATCATCGTCCATAAGGATTATCTATGCAAGTTGATGACTAAAAATGTGCTCATCGCTGGATGTAAGTTGCAGGCATGCAATCCGAATTAGAACCATAGCATTTTCCATTTGTCCATTGCACAATGAGCCAACCATGGGAATTTTCGGCAAGAAACTCAAATGTTAAATATTATGAGACAAGGTTGACAAATTTTTTCAGAAAATTAATTACTAATTACCCACATCCACTCGAACCGATTAGTCCATAACTGAAATGTACATAACACATAAATTAAACAGCTTACTTATTTAGTTAACAAAAATTTACTTGGTTTAAATTTCCTACATTTCCCCCGGGGAAATATTAAGGTTTAGGTTATTGAGCACATAATTTCCTTTGCCGTAGCGTTTGAACCCGTTTTTTATTTGAACTGCCATGATTTTAATTGGATTTACTTCTCACAAGATTTTAAAATTCCTAATTATTTTTATCTGCCGAATGGATAATGCACTGCCGGAGTCAGGTTACTGTCTGCTTCGTCCTTTTTGTCTATTTATGTACTCCGGATCAGAGTCTCCGGTATTTATAATTTTCACACCTCAACCTAATGGGTTACTAAAATATCCATGTATGTACGTATGTAAGTACACATGTACATATACATATAAATTAGAGCTGTGCGTAGGGCCGGGTTTACCCTAAAAAAACCCTACCCTACCCTACCCTATAGGGTTTTGGGCGGGCCGGGTTTTTTGCCCAGGAAATTCCAGTCGGGCCGGGCGGGTCGGGCTTTTTCCAGTAGGGTTTTGGGCGGGCCGGGTTTTTTGCCCAGGAAATTCCAGTCGGGCCGGGCGGGTCGGGCTTTTTCCAGTAGGGTTTTGGGCGGGCCGGGCTTTTTTTGTAGGGCTTCGGGCTTTTTAATTTACCCTAGTGATAAAGTACAATATGGCAATTTGAAACAAAACTTCATAGTTTTATGTAGCCCCAGCTAAAGCAGAATTGTTTATCTGTAATGCTATGGAGTTGTTTTCACTGGTTGGCTGTTTCATTACACGAATCAATTTCATGAATAAATAAATCTCAACTGTAAATCACATCAGTGAGATTAAGACCAAATTATAAATACAGTTCTATTAAATACAAGGGCTTAACTCAATTTTTGTTTAAACTAAAATAACTCAAATTTAGCAAATATTGATAATAATATGCATTGGATTTGTCCACCATTGCATTTTTTATTAATACCTAGTGTGCATGTCTAATCGAGTCTCCGAAAGCCTTAGCAAGTGCTGGTTTTTTAGGATAAATACGTGCAGAACTGCACATGGGTGGGTTTACAGTAAAAAAGCCCTACCCTATAGGGTTTTGGGCGGGCCGGGCTTTTTCTCAGAAAAGCCCTATAGGGCCGGGCGGGCTGGGCTTTTTCCAGTAGGGTTTTGGGCGGGCCGGGCTTTTTTTCCAGAAAAACCCAGTAGGGCCGGGCGGGCCGGGTTTTTTCCAGTAGGGTTCTGGGCGGGCTGGGTTTTTAAAAATCGGGCCCGTGCACAGCTCTAATATAAATACGTATGTATAATACGTATAGCTAATCCTACGTAGTGTGGGACACCCCAGTGGCAGTGTAATGGATGGAATTAAATAATGATTTTAAAAAAATGTCTCTAATCTGCACACTGTAAGAATAAATAAACCCCTACGGAGTAAAATACTATCCGTGGCAGAGTTAATAGTGTTTGCACTCTCTATGGTGTACGTGGGAGCTTAAATGCAAAAGAGTTACGCGTTTTACCCCGTTTGAGTACACCGTTACCTTCAGCGGAGTAACGCTTCCACAAGGGCACTGTGAGTCGGTAACCCTTATTGGAGTACTGCTTACTCAGTACGGTGTTCTTTTTATGAGAGCGGTATATGCAAATAATTTGAAATCCATTCAATTTTGTTTACATAATTTATTTATGGAATTTTATTAATTATTCATTAATTTTAAAATTCTACAAGAACAGTATTGCTTAAAATATTGCAACAATTAAAAATTTCACTAATAAAATATAATTTACTAGTTAAAATTACAACCTGGGCATTATTTGGCCGATTAGAGCTTGCACAACCGGGGTTAATGTTGAGTTATCGCAGGGTTTTCCAGCTATACCGTGTAACAAAAATAACCATACATTTTTTGCTTCAACCGGAGGGGGCAGGTAGAAAACACTAAAGATTTTAATGCATGTATCTAAGGCTACAAAGAAACTATCCCCACAAGGGATAGCCATCCTATCTAAAATTACGAAGTAAGACTCAATCCTTAAATCGTATGTAGAACCAAGAGCCAGTATGAGGGGGGCAACATTCTTATTCTCACTCAGGACTTCCGCGACATGCGTATTTTTCTGCAACAATAAAGAAATGCTATTACTTTCATGTCGTTTTTACCTTAATTTAATACTTTTATATAATCATTCAACTTACAGATCTAAATATTATCAAGCTATTCCGAGCATCCAAATCTGTTGCTTTTATTGATCTCTTAACTCGCTTTGGCTTAGGACCGCTGTCCGACTGACTAATATTATTGTCCCCAGTGGGCGCAGGGTTTATTTTACGAGCACAGGATGGGAGAATATGTGGCAGGAGGCTGAACGCAATCAATGCTATGTCATCTAAAAATCATTGAATATTAGCTAGGTAATTGTAATTATAGTTGAAGAGCAAATAATGTTGTTAACTCACCCCCAGTTAAGTCACACCTTGGCTTTCGAATATCCAATTTTTTTTGGTAATCAACGCCACTTTCCTCTGCATAGGTGAGGAGCAATTTCGAGGCTTTCGGCCACCGCTCATACATCACAAGACTAAGCCTTGGATGTCTCGAATTGAAGTCTTCAACAATCTGAACAATAGGAAAGGATTATGTTTTTATATAAATAGCATTAAGCATATTATGTACACAACATAATTCTTACCATTCCCTTAATATCAAACAAGCGTGGTAAAATTGACGGGATCCTTCGAAACCCTACCAAGTTCTGTTGCATTTCTTCGCGAATTACAGTTCGCCTCATAAATGTGGAAGATTTCATAGTAGGAAGAACATCCTGACCCTTATTCTGTCGTAAAAATTCTAAAACTTTTTCATCCGGCTCAGGGTTATCTATAATTTGTTGTAATAATGTATATGCACGAATAATGTTTATTTACTACAATTAGTTATTCATCATCATCAGGTTCAGAATCCCAGCACGAGGACAAAATATCTGTCTCGTCATGATAGTCGGTGTTTTTACGTGACTCCAATTTCTTGCGCTGGTTTTTAATGCGTTCCATTAAATAACCTGGTGATCCTGAACCATGAGTGATATTTTGGAACCACATTGTAGATCCAAAATTCTTCTTCCTAGAATCTCCTAGTTCTGGATAACTAGTCACTAAATCCAATGCTAATTGATGTAAAGCTTCTTTGCTTGGACTGAAATCAAACGAATTTAAAGGGATAAAATAAGCAAAATTAATTAAAACGAGGGTTCATTTTTACTAGTATGTACCTACCTAACTCCTAAATTTGCTATCAAAGCATCAACCAACGCATTAGTCACTGCAATCCTATCTTCCCGGATTAGCATCCTTTTGGCCGGAATTTTTTCATTTAAAATTCTTCTAGTGGATTCGGTTCCCAAAAGCACGGACTGGATGCTCTACAAAATTAATTACTGTTAATTTCTATGAATTATTGTTAAGGCTGTTAAAATAAATAGCAAAAAATAATCATTCACGAATCCATAAAATTTTTTCTGGATCCTCGGAACGTTCAGGACATTGGATTTGTTGTTCGAGAAGTTAATCTGTAATTTAATCAATTTTCTATTGACTTTAATCTAAAAAATTAAAATGTGCTTAGGGAGCGTCCATAAATCACGTGATCGATTAGAGGGGGGGAGGCGGTCTGAAATTTGTCACGAATTATCACGGGGGGGGGGGGGGGTAGATGGTCAGATGTCACGTGACATGAGTAAAGTTTTTTGCCAATAAATGTCATGAGAGTTTATATCGTGCGTGTGGTATGATACCACACGCACGTTATATAAATTTGATTTTCATTTTGCACATTTATAAACTTGCTTCGACCTAAATTCTTATGTCTGACTGGCGTATTAAATAGTTATTTACACATGTGTGTAATGTAGCTCTAATTTGATTAATGATTTAAAAAATATTGTTATTCCGGACATGATTTAATTTGAGCATCATCTCGTGTCACGTGACCGGTGGGGGGGTAGCGAAATTATCACCACCGGTCACCAAGGGGGGGGAGGGGGTCAAAATTGTCCAAAAATCGATCACGTGATTTATGGACGCTCCCTTAATCAAACCGATGGCACACCTGGTGTAATGGTCCAGATTCTAATTCATCGGTACTATGTAATTGCAGAAATGAGCCATCAATCTCTATGGGAATTGGATCGGAGATTTGGTTAATGATCTCTCCTTGCGACGACTCGTTAATAATAGGCTCTCTGGTTGTCAATTCTTCGTGATTTGGTGATATGTCTTCCTAAGTACAGACCAAACCAATAACTTTCGCAATTAAATCATATCCTTGCGCTCTTGATAATGAAATAAGACTGGATTTAACTTACAAATAAATTGCTTGGCTGAAAATTTGGTGGGTTACGTTTCCGCTCAGGTTTGCTAAACAATGTTGGCGAAATGTTTAACCCCCGTTCTCTTATTTCGGCTTCATCTAATATTGATCCGCTAAAAACTGATGACTATGAATCCTAAATTATATATTTATTAACAACTTACATAATAATTTGAAGGGAACGCCCATAAATTATTTCACGAAAAAATGCAGAGTTTTCAAACCCTTCTTCCCCTCGTGATGCATTATGTACATCCCATTTTTACATATGGCGCAAATGGGAGTTATGTGAACCTACGTTATGTTATGAACTTATGTTCATTTATAGTTAAATTATCTTGATTTTTGGATATCCCCTCAATAAATTATTGTTTACTACCACAATAAGTTTAAATATATATTATTGGCAGAATAATAAAATGCTCTGAGTCATTGCTAAATGATATAGCAGAATAAAAGCATTGAAAATATTTTACATCATTAGAGTCAATAAGTATGGATAGTCCGGATTCATAAAGTTTGTATCCAGCGTATTGAGCAATATACTCACTACTAAACTTTTTAACTACAAAGTGACAATCGTCATTGTCCAAAATGATTCTGTCAATGCGACCAAAAATTGGCATTTCTCTGCAATATTCTAACAAGATATATCCACCCACCTCAAAATCAGAGCCATTTTTTGTAATTTTAGTCGTCACAACTATCTGATCCGTCGCCAATTTGCTAAATTTTCCCAGTAATAATTCATTTTCTATCGTGTCTGCCAAATTTATTGACTCGTAATCATTGCAAGCAAATGAGTGTGGCGAAAATGTTTCCAAAGAAAGCAGCTTAAAACAACGAGATAATTGAAAACGATATGCCAATGATTTCGAAATATTTTTGAAATTGCCTACGACATGTGCAGTTGTTTTGAAAAACTTATGGCGCGCCTCGAAGGGCATGCTCCAAAACTGATGAAGGGGTCCTATCTGCTTAATGGCGGAAGAATAGTGCAACATGTGATGATGTTTTGGTTTCAATGGCTTTCGAATCATGTCCTGATATTGGTGCAGGAATTCAGCGATAAGAGAATCAAGTAAACAAGCCCACCAGATGAAATAAAATTTGCAAGGAGGATCCTGGCTATTTCGTTTAATAACAAGAATAGTGACCAAGTTTTATCAGAAGTGTCGATCAAATCGCCAAGTAAAATAGGAAGATAAAGAGCAATACATATATTTTGCGAAGCATTTTGGCCAGATTTGGTTTCTCCCTTCATAAATGTTGGTTTAATTTGTGACGGCCTACTTTTCCCGTAATGGCGACCAAAATCATATGACTCTAGGCGATAATTCAATTTGTCAACCGACAGCTTATTTTTTGAAACCAAGTAATTTACAACGGAATGAAATAAATCAGGCACCACCCCCTCAAATAAGTCGTGCATAATATCGAAGACAAAATTGTTAATGACATGAAAATATGGTAAAGTATTCAGAATGGAAGAAAAATTCAACCCTGTTTCGCTGAGATTATTTATCTCCACATCTAACGAATAATTTGCTACAGTTCTGAGTTTAGATTTTGATTCGAAACAAACACTCTGGCACTCTTTTTTATGCATTTTACAACGCCGACAGGGATAATTTGCATTAAAACCTTCGGAAAATCCTAAAAGAGTATGTAATCCTAAATTATCTCTAATGCAATTTTTAAATTAATTTGCTCACCATTGTGTACAAACAATATTCCTTCCTCCCAAAGCTCCTTCAATTCATTAGTAATTACTCGTAAAACCGAATTTGGGGAACATAATTTGAAGTCCTCGGTTTTAAGTGATGCAACAAGAATAACATTGTCTAATTTTGAAAGGAGGTGTTGTGGAAGATCAATTATAGAGAAATAAAAGTTTGCTAGTTTGTGTTTTCCACTTTTTGAACCCAGAGGATTGGCTACTTCTGCATCATCGTAATAGAGATTGATAAATATTGTTTCTCTGGGCTGATTAAAATCTCTTACAAATTTTCCATCCCGGAAGCAAGAGAAATTTTCACCGTTAAAGTTACTATTAGTTTGCAAAATTGAGAAAAATCCTGGTTTTCGAAGCAACTGTTGAATGGATTTCTTAATAGAAATGTATTGCATAGTGACATTCTTATATTCCTGCTTTCGTGACCCCAAACTTCTAGACTGAAAGGATATGTCGGTGTCAAGGACAATTTCTTTGGGTTCAATCATGAAATTTCTACTTAATAAATACTTATCCATTTTGTATCTTGAACTAAACTGGTCAAAAACGGCTAATAAATCCCTAACCGGACTGTACTTGGTTGGATTTCCATTATAACTGTTACGAAATTCGCTAATTTTAATTACTTCTGCTATGCTTTCCTTCACGACGGACATGATTTTGGTACAACTAACCATGGGGATCTTTCCAGACTCTAAGATACTAGCGTATAATTTTGCAATGCATGATTCGAAATGTATAACTGACTCAGGACCAGAAAAGTCTTCTAATTTAGGAGGGGACAAAAACTCGTCATCTTTTTCCTCTAACTCTTCTTGATTTAGCAAATCGGTATGGCAATCAGTAAGTGATACACCACTTAAAAGTTGGGAATGAAGTTTAAAAATATTCGCAAAGTGACCAAGATAAGCCCTGCGTGCAAATGAACCATTACAATGTGGGCATTTATATTCACTCTCTAGCTTTAGTTTATGAAACTTTGTTAAATGTAGGGATAATAGCCTTAAATTTCTAAATTTATCTGTACATTTAAAACATACGTAAATACTCCCTGATTTTAGCTTAACAATGGCCTTGCTGAGTTTTGAGCGATGTCCAATACTGGGGATGAGGTCTGCGAGATCTTCCTTCGATAACTCCAGCAATTCATCATCGGTAATATGGTTTTCTGAAAATAAGAGGGAAAATTGCAATCACATTTATGAGAATAAAATTTATTGTACAATTTCGACAATTTGCAACTTTAAATTAACTATTTACCCTCAAATTTTTTGGCGTACTCTTCTAATCCGCACTGCTGCAGAAGTCGTCGCACCTCTTGCGTTGCCATTTCTGAGTGGGGGTGGTTAAACGGGGGCAAGGAAATGAAAATTTTTCCACTGCCCGAATTACACTCGCAGCGTGGTGGAAGGCGATTGAGTGGAAAATGCGCTGCTTTGTGGTGTAAGAGCCAACCTCCCGCCCAACTCACATAACTCTGCCACGGGTAAGTTATGCATTGTTAACTCTTTCTGGATTAAATCCAAGCAAAGTAGACTAAACAGAGTAAGTATTGGGGCAACCCGATGATAGGTTTGCCACTTTACCCTGTACAGAATTACCAATACCCCTGTCAGTGTATACTGGCAAGTAACTCAGCACTAAGTTACACACATTTTTAACAGTGCATAAATAAGTATGTGTTCCTATTTTCCTAACAAGCTTATATTTTTGCATTTCATATGGGACAAACCATTTTCAAGGAGTCGTGAACTTCTCTTTTCTCACGGCCATACTCACTTAACTTTGTACTTACATTTGACAGGGTCCTTATTATTCCTTACTACATATTCACTATACAATTTTCACACGTTAAGAAAACCCGGTTAACTTGCACCACATCGAATAAACATAATTGAGGTACATACATAAGTCCATATTTTAGTTAGCTAATTGACTTGGTTATTGACACTTGGAAAATTAGGTAATTTTGAAATGTGCAATTTAACGGTATATTTTACGCAAACTCCCATTGCAACGCATGTATAGATGTAAGTATGTACATGTAAATACATACATATCTGTATCTTATATCATGCAAGGATAAAAATGCGTAAATACCAACATTTCGAACCCGCATGCAAAAATAAAAGTATAAAAACCTTTAATACTTAACATATATTTTCCAACATGTTTTTAACATCAGAAATACTATACCTATCTTTAGCACTAATTTTGAGCATTTTCTTGATTAATTCTTCAAATTTGGTAGTATCTCGACCCTTTCCTAAGTCATTGAACACATCATTCTCCTCATTTCTTCTCAATTGATCAAAAAGTCTCAATTTATTTGTGATCGGGGACGATAAAATCTCGAAGTAGCAAAGTCCCAAGCTGAATATGTCCGTCTTTTCGTTACAGTCAGCCTGATTAAGGGTCATTTCCGGGCTTCGGTACAACTCGCAGCCCGCAGCGGAACAATATTCATCCTCGTTCTTATCCAACTTTACAGACAATCCGAGATCAACAATTTTCCACATGATGAAACTATTCCCGTTCAGATTGCACATAATGTTGTCCGGTTTTATGTCGCGGTGAACAATCTTAACCTTATGAAGGACACTGAGACCGTTCGAAATTTGCAGAAACATTCGCTTAATTACGACAAAATCTCTGCTTTCTAGCGGATTATCTGCCAACCATTGTTTCAAACTGAGGTGACAGTACTCCATTTGCATAAAAAGATGGTATGGGCTTCCAGAAGAAGTTTCGGACATGTCCACCATTGACAAGTCACTGTAGGCGCTGCCATCGCTATCCTCGACCCAGAAGTTTACCAAGCGGACAACATTATCGTCGCGGATATTTTGCAAATTTGCTATTTCGCGACTAAATTTTAGCACGTTGTACACACTTTCTTCAGATCCTCGGAATGCTTCGTATAAATCGATTTGCTTGATGGCGAAGATGTTTCCGGTTTTCGTACATTCAGCTTTCCATACTTTTCCATATGAACCTTTTCCCAGCGTAGTGTGTGACATGAGACGCAAGGTTTTCACGGATTGCCACGGTGTTTCTGAAAAGTCGGAAATTTCGATGCAATTTAACAAGATAAGAGAGTTGGGATAAATCGAGGGGTACTATGCAAGTTCTCCCCCGCAAGTTTTCCCCCGTAAGTTCTCCTCCGGAAATTCTCCCCCATACAAGTTCTCCTCCATACAAGTTTTCCCCCATACAAGTTTTCCCCCATACAATTCTCCTCCATACAAATTCTCCTCCATGAAAGTTTTTCCCAATCCTCAATTTTCAATTTTATGTAAAAGAGGGTTTCGGCTATGCTTATTGCATAACTCATGAAATTGTATCACTGATAAATGATAAAACCTCTTAAGGGCCCGGGGGAAGATTTACTTTTCGAAAATTGATTTTATGTTAGCAACAATAATTGCTAGGAATCTAAGATTATTTATCACTCTATAAAGTTAAGACCACGATTAATTGACACCGTTTCTATGGTACGGTCACGTCCAAAAGCCTTTGTTTGATCACTTTTCCCTCAAGTTTTTGAAAAAAGTTGTTTTCTTTTGTTCCATGGATACTCAAAATGCAATTCATGCCATCAATTTTGTAATTCTAAGCCAATTTGTGCTCACTTTATGACCAGATATCTCCACTGCGCAAGAGGGCACATTGTCAAAAAAAAGTTAGTAAAACCTAAAGATATGATTATCAAATTAAACATAATTTAAAAAATGTGCCCTCTTGCGCATTGCTGAATTTTATGGTCAAAGTTGACATGATTTCTAAGCAACTTCCCCCAGGCCCTTAAATTATTCTACTTTGTGGAAATAAGATTCTGACTTAAAGATAATTTATCAAAGTTCATTTATATGGCCAAAGTCTTAGGCGTCCGACGGAGATTTTATGCTATTCTGGCGTTCAAACTTCAGACATCACTGGAGTCCGACCTACCTAATGATGTCAAGTAAAAGCGGTCAACACCAAGGATAGCCACTGAATGTATGCACAAACTGCAACTTGCATTTTAATTTTATGTTGACCGGTTCAAAAACTACGCTCTACCATCACTTCTTAAGTTAAGATTACATTCAAAACGGAGACGTAATTTATAAAACACGATTTAAAATAGTTTTACAATTCTACTCAAAAATTAAACAAAAAACAATAAAATATCAATTAAAACAGGACATCATATCGTAAAACACAGATAAAAATAATTTTAAAATTCAAGTCAATAGTAAGAACAGTAATACAATTTCATGGGCTAAGCATACCCGAAACATAAAATTGAAAATTGAGGATTGGGAAAAACTTTCATGGAGGAGAATTTGTATGGAGGAGAATTGTATGGGGGAAAACTTGTATGGAGGAGAACTTGTATGGGGGAGAATTTCCGGAGGAGAACTTACGGGGGAAAACTTGCGGGGGAGAATTTACACCGAATCAAATCGAGGTGGGTATTTAGATATTTACTTGTCGCGTGATTTTTAACTTCGTTGACATAATTTGTTCCTTGTTGGACACAGTTTTGAGAAACGTTTTCCTCCGTAAAGTCATCACTAATGTTGCTGGAGGAAAGTAGGGAGTCATTTTTTGCAGCGTTGCCCAAAATTTCTAGATAACCCCCGAACAAGACAGTAAACAAGGCCAAGACAGAAAGTATAGAAATGATAATAATTCCAGTGATTAGTCCAACTGTAAATGCCCATGAGCAATGTCCATTAATTATAATTTTTATAATTAAAACAAAATTATGTATGCTACTCACATGTAAAATTATCTTCTGCTTCCGGATAAGGAATAACCGTGGTCGTGGACGTCGGTTCATCTTTTGAGCACTGACATTCATAACTTTCCTCATTTATTGTTAACTATTTTAAAGCATTTTTAATAGTTTTTACATTATCAAGAAATTAAAATTGCGCTAAAATCTGGTGATAAATTATTAATTTTCTCACAACATTATTGACATTTCCGGACATTGTAATTTCCTCACGTGGAGGAGTATCTGGACACATCGAGTCTGTTATGCGTCTCGTTACATGACAATTGGAAGGGATTGATATGGATCTGATTCCATTTTCGAATTGGAATGTTTGCCTCTCGTTGGATTTAAGGATGACACCCTCATCGGTGCAATGTCGAGTTGCATTGTAACAGTTGAACATTCGGTAAAGCGTGCAATTTCCAGGGGGAGGAGGGGATGCAGTTTTTTCCACTTCGGGTAAAATATTCACACTAAAAAATGCAAAGTTATTTTCATTGCTGCGAAATATTTAGAAAAAAAATTAGCCCTATAATAAAACCATGGATTTTTACAGGGTTGGAGGTGTTTCTGGAAATTCAGGACAGCACGTGGGACTGTATTTTGTTTCTTTGCTGGGGCAAATACAACTGCAAATTATCTTCCCATTCGAACATTGTGCAAAGTAATCTACGCTGACATCGTAAAACTTGTCGCATCTCCGAATCCAGTCGTCCTCAGTGGGACTGGTGTTGACCAAGATGAACACTGGCAATTTTGAAGTACAGCTTTTCATTGAAATATTTTTTGTCCCGTTTAATTTTAAGCATTTCACTCACCTGATAAAACCATGTGAAATTCTACTTTAAGTAAATTTATGCGATTGTAATTCCATTGCATTGCACCGACTTAATCACATTTTTCCACAGTTATTGCACGATGTCGGCTAAAGATGCTTGTGTACAGGTGTGTTTCTGTAAGTATTGAATTTCCATAAAACTAATTCCTGTATGAGTAAGGGTGCAAAGTTCTGGTCATAATTAGACAACAAATCCTTTGAGTACTGATATTTGAGAGCAAGTTAAATGCATGCTACAAACTATGTACGTATGTAAATGACTCATGGTTATTTGCAAAATCCACAAGCACGACGGGAGGAAGTACCAATTGGTACTTATGTACAAATATTTGTAAAAATTGATTTTGTAAAATTGTGCTACATATGTTGGTTGTAGAGTCGGCAAGAAGAATCCGATAACCGTTACTTCTGATGAACATATTTACGACATTACGCATACATATTTACATACATTCGTTCATACATATTTACATAAGATTACATTGTATTACATTTTACTCATTATTTAGAAAAGATAAACGACCATCACCGCACATATTTATTTACGAGTATGTACATATATATATACATATATATACTGGATTTTCTTGTCAAGCGAATACAGACAGAATTTATACTGTAATAATAATAATGTCTGATCAGTTTATATATTTGCATTCAGATTTCTAACAATGCATGTATTTATGCATGTGCAATATTTTCTATAAATGTAGTATGTATGCTACTCTAGCATGGCTACACGATGCTTAAAAAACTGGTTCTTCTTAAGCCAAATATGTACATGCATTAAGATTAATATACACGTATGTAATTGTTTATTTATTGTCTTGTTGTGGCCTATCTTGCTTACTACCTCGTAATTCGATTACGTCAAGCCATTTCTTGGAAGCACAGAATTAAAAAAAAAAACAACACGTGGACCAAGAAACTATCAAATTGTATACGTTAATACATTTATTTTATGTTTGTTCTGCGAAAATGGATAATTTCTTGGAAAACCTTAATATCTGGTGTTTCAGCGTATATAAATCATGCTAAACCAGCGAAAAATGTATCAGTCAGAATTTGTATTTCAATCTGAAACAGACAAACTATTTAGCCCCAGTTGTTTGAAGGAAGAAATCCGCAATGAAAAATATCCACTTTTTTCTACTCGTTGTTCTCCTTGTGGCCGCCGTAGGGGTGGCACATGTTGGTATGAAAAACTAAGATATTTTACATAATAATTGAATATTTCTGATCCTAAATAAACTTATTAGACGCCATCAACTGCCAAGATCAAGGTGGGAATTGCAAACTTGTAAACACCGGAAGTTGTCAGAGCGAGGGGAAGCGTCGTGTCGGGTATACCAGCGGTTGCAGACCACCAGAGCATTGTTGCGTATAATATTTTCATAGGGTAACAAGTCCCACGCGTTGAATCATCATCCAAATGGAGAAGAGATGCAATTACTAAAATTGTTATATTTAGTTGAAAAATTCCAATTCCAATAGCATTTATGTATGTACCTAATACGTGTGTGCGAAGCCTAAACGAGCTACCATTTTTATTGTAAATGTACATAATCTTCAAAATATGTAATAAATTTTACCTTTCCGCACTGGATTCAATTTTTCTAAGAATGTCTATTTTCTAAGAATTTCTATGAACCCTTTACTCGGTTCTATTATGTAGATTTCCCTCTCATTTCCGTAAAGTATTTTTCGGAAAGACTTATCTGAATTTTGTCCTAATGTCCTCATTTTCTGAACAATAGAGGTGAATCGATTATTCATAATTAGAGGGTGTTCCGGAAGTAATGCAACTTTGGTCAAATGCACATATAAACTCAACGAATGAATTTTTTAAAGCGAAATTTTGGTCAGAAAGGGACAAAGGTTAAAGCTAATTAAGTTTTGCTTCCAATGGTCCGTACACCCCTTCCGCCAAATTTGGAGACGTTTTTGTTGGGCGCTCACAATTAGTGCTTCGCCACTGTTTTTGGTCACCATTTTTGAGATTTTTGACCACATGTGTTGAAATAAGTTCAAATTTTCGACTGAAGTTTTTCGATTACAATATTTTTTCTAGGATAGGAACTAAAATTTTTCAATAGGTCTTGTATTTGGCAAATTTGGGAACGTTGTTCACCTCTCCCATGTTAATTGCATTTGATCCGTTTTAAGGCGGAGCGTGATACTTTGGCTTATATTTAATTTCCAGTTTTGCATAAATGGTTTTCTTGAAGGTGGGAGAGTTGTACTATGTGCAAATAAAAGCATTTTGATAATCTGAGCAGTAAATCGTCTTGTACAGGACGATCAATTTTGGTTAATTTTAATTACTTCAGGTCAAGGATTTTTTCTGCCCTCCTGCTTGCTACTTTTATTTTACTCTTGACTATATTTATAAGCTTCTAGAACCTTCTAGGATTTGATGTACAACTTCTAAGCTTTCAAATAATGTATGGTGTTCGGTGAGAACTTCAAGTACTTCAGCGAATTTCGCTCCGACATAACAAATTTCTATCTACACGAAGTTTATTACTTTCGGGGCTGCCACACGAATGTACCGACCAGATATTTTTTGCGATTAGTCGTTTTTTGCAGCTCATACCTTAGTATAACACAACAAATCGTCACTTTTGGAATTTCTTATTTTTTAAAGTGAACACAGCTCAATTTCTTGGAGCGCGTAACCACTTTTTCGAGGTAGTGGCAGACAATGGTTGCGAGTTGCTTGGTGGTATTTGACCTCATTTTGGAACGGATAGAGATATCGACTTCTGGTTTTCGGATTCTACTAGATAAATGTGTGGACTTCAATATTCACCCAATTTCGAATTTGGGGCAAATTGATACCCTTGCATATATGCATTTTACCAAAGTTGCATTACTTCCGGAACACCCTCTATCAATATTCCTTCGTTCACATCTAGCCATGTTTTATCAGGGTATATATAACACTCCATATACCATCTACCTAAATATTCCAATCCTTCGGTTTTAAAAAGTCCGTTCAGGATTTGGCGTCAAATTGACGCTGTCAATTACTTCAAGTAATTTCTCAGTGAATCTTGACGTAGAAGTTCTACGGTAGAACTGCGTCTCAAAATACCCCTGCGGACATGCGCGAACTTCTTTGCTTAAAAAAACGTTCATCACAACACACAGAACTCATCTTCAGTTGCTGCTTGCTAGTTCCCGCGACGAACCCAGCTGGCTTTTTTTATTTGGAGTGAGCCAGAAAGGGTTCGTGGAAAGTCCATAAGGAAAAACGCCACGATAGAGGTACGATTTCTGACCCCCTATTGGTAGTATTAACGCAGCGCGTGTGGCTGCTGCACGCCCAAGCAGTGTGTGCTTCGCCCCACGATGGTGGTGCACCACCGCTCATATCCACAAAAAATTACGTTGGAAGCACCTAGGTGGCGTCGGCACCGCCATTTAGAGCATCAAATTTGGGGAGACGCGACTCCGAAATTGGAGAGAATATGTCCAAATAGGGGTGCGGACGCCACCTATGTGCTGCAAACGTAATTTTTTGATGCCAGGATATGTGGATATGAGTGGTGGGTGTATGGCACCCACCACTCACTTTGTATGAGAGTTGCAGCCACCACGTTTGGCAGAAAATGCACGAAATCGTGTGTGCTTCCAAAATCTCACTTTTTCATCTGTTCAGTTAGAGTCCTCGTAGGAACTAGCTGCTTGCTGTCAGTACACAGTATGTACTTTTGTATATTTTTGAGTTTGAATTAAGATTATTAAAATTAATTACCAATTTTGAAACTCACTTTGCCGCATGGCTGCGGATCAAGATCGGCTATCGTGATTTACGGAGGAAAACTACTAAGGTTTGACTGAATTTAAAGAACGTCCGGGAATGAATGGGAATGGTCTGAAAATGTGGTCATAAAATCACAATGAGTTATCGGAATTTTAAACTTTTTGCATATGTATAATACCAAATACGTACCTACATAATTTAATTAATAGCTAAGGCCGCCACACCCCCGTTGGCGACTAGTTCGATTTTCTTGCGAAGATTTTTCATTAAATTTTTTCCCGAAGTTTTTGCCACTTCCGAGGTGATTTTCTTCCATCGTCCTTTGAATTTTCGAAAGGTGTCAGGCACATCTTGAAGCCGGGAGTATACTGACTTAGAACGTGCCCAGAATTTTTCGATTGGGCGGAGTTGGGGTACATTAGGTGGGTTGATATCTTTTGGTACGAAATCAATATTTTTCTTTCTGAGGTACTCGGTCACTTTCTTTGCATAGTGACAAGTGGCGAGGTCAGGCCAAAACAAAACTTTATCATTTTTGTGAAACCTATTAATAAATGCTTCCAATCCAGCCTTGACGCAATTTTTCAGATAAATATCTTGATTGATATTCCCTTCGAGAACTACCGGGTCTGATACATGTCCGTGACTGGAGATGCATTGCCAAATGCAATATTTCTTTGGAAATTTGTCTTTTTTTCGTACTTTTTCTTCATAAGCCACTTCAGAGGGATCCGAGCTATGAAAAAAATGACGCCCTGGAAGATTTGAAGGGTCAACCGGAACATACGTTTCGTCATCCAGGATCACTACTTTTCCACGCATTTTCTTCAACAATTTTTGACAGCAATCCTTGATCCGACTTTCTTGTACGGGCTTGTAATTTGGTGCAGGTTTTTTGGTCCTTGCTTTGATTCCTAATTTATGGACCTTAATTTCCCCCAGGTAGCTTTTGGAAATTTTGACTTTCCTGGCAGCTACAGCTACTGACGTTGATGGCTTGGTTTTGAAAATTTTTTCAATTCTATTTTTCACTCGAGTGGTCGCTAGCTTCGCCGGACGACCAGCTGGCTTCTTGAATTGCACATTTTCGGAATCCTTGAACTTTTTTATGTAGGAATACACATTTGAACTTGGAATTCCTTCCTGCTTAAAAAAGTTCCAGGTCACCTTGGAGTCTCGGTTGGCTGTCGTGTTGTAGAACTCCATCACTCGTTTTGCTAACAGCTCCCTTTCAAACAAGCTTCTTCTACCCTTATCCATTTTTGAAATTTAAGAGTGATATACCAAATTGACCCTAATGAAGTGGGCTTTCAGAAATTTAAATTATTATAGTTCGCGGGTTTATTGATTTGTCAATATACTCGCTAGAGCGCGCATTCCCATTCATTCCCGGACGTTCTTTATTTTGAGTAGTTTTTTATTTGCATTGCAAGTTTTGAAATATGTTATTGCCAATAATAAATATGTGATATGATGCTAAATATTTATTTATGACGAACAATGTGTAACCTAATTTATCGTATTTGGTAAACAGGAAAGCAATCGGGACAGGACGTCACGATGCAGGGCGAAATTGACCAACCGGCCATACAATTGGAGGAGTTTGACGTTGTTGTCGACATCGATAAAGTGGCGATGAATAAGGCTTTGCTCAATCCTGTGGTATTTAATTAATTAATTACTTCATAATTTATCCACATTTTATATTTTATTTTATTTATCCACAGTATTTAATTAATTTGTGCGAATATTGTATTGCAAATATTGTATTGCAGATCCTGCACAAAGTCTTCTGTTCCTTGGACACCCCCACTTTAAAGTCAGTTCGCCTCGTCTGCACCCTTTGGGCCGAGGTCGGCGCCACAATTCTCGGCAAACAGGGTCGCCTCCCCTTTTCGACACCGCCAACCTGTGAAGAGTTGACCTCATTCAATCCCAAACTGGCCAGGAACATTGAATTACTATTCCGCAAGATTATTAAATGTCACTGCATCGACGATTGCTCATGTCCTCCCAATTTGACCAATCTGCCCTCCAATTTTGTCATAATTTTGCCCCAGATTTCGGACAAGTTGGAAACACTCGAGCTCTTAGGGGTCAAGACGTTTGAACCCCTACAGGAAATTTGGAGCACTTATCATTTCGCACGCCTCACCCACATCTCGATCATCGCTAACGGAGTGTATCTCGATAAAATGACACCACCAGCACAAGGTATGGCTCAATTTCGACCCCTTCCAAACCTGAAAGTGTTCTCCTTTGAAGTTTCACCCAGCTGTAGAGAGCCCTCGTCAAAGGATTTTATGTCAACCATTTGCCACAATCTGGTCAACTCGGCCCCCAACCTGGAAGAAATTGACCTTAAGGCAAATTTCTACTGGGATTTAACGGCATGCGGAAAACTCAAAACCTTCCAGGTGAAACATTATTCTTGGGGTGGTGTTCAATCCGAAATCTATGAAATGACGAAAATGCTGGAAAGTTGTGGACATTCTTTGGAAACTTTGACCCTGGATTATTTGGGTTCGTACAATGGCCCAATAGAGGTAAAATTCTTGCAGTTTTTTTTCGTTTTCATTAAAGTTTCAGTAATTCTGTATTTTACTTTAAGCTGGATTTGCACTTCCCGAATCTCACCCACCTCAGACTTCATGCTACCCACGTGTATAGCGTTGAGGCCTCGGTGAACATCATCAATCTCCCAAAATTGACGCATTTCTCCTTGTTAAGCAATGCTACGTTCAAGAGGGACATTTCTAGCATCCTTCAACACTACCATTTGCGTCACATTGGGATAACGTCGCTCGATATGTCTTGCTTCCACTATCCCAAATTTGACAACGTATATGGACATGGACAAGCTGCCAGAAGACTGGTCAATCTGTTCCCGGCCGTGAAGGAATTGAAATTGAAGATGCTGATCCAATACGTCAGTAGTTACGGCCAATATTTTTTGGCTTTGATGGAAACGGTACAATCTTTCGACGACTGGGAGTTGACATGCGGGCAGATCGAGTTTGAGATTGCGTCTTTTTCGGTATCTGGGGTACATAACTATTCTTATCCCGATCAGTGGTTTGGTTCGGAACTGGTCCTTATCGTATTGAAAGGAATGGCGGGATGGAGAGGTTATCATTTCAATATAATTATTGTATAATGAAATAATGAAAATAGTGACATTAATTAAACTTGATAGGTTTGAGGAACACTTCACTGCAATTTACTGGTAATGAGGGTCGTCAAGCAGGGTTTAGATTGTTGGGCGAGATGCGAGATGTCCTCCTGTCGTGCAGGACGATTCGAAGCCTGACTATTGCTGGGTTTCTGGTACATTTTTATACTTTCTCGTTGGGGTAGGAAAAATGTAAAAAAAAATATGCGAGTTTTTATTTTGCTAATTTTTCCACAGATGGATGAACAGACCAAGGACAATTTTCAGACGTTTATTGGAGACCATAATTTACCGATTAGTCTCACTGATTAAATAATTCTTTCATTTGTATTGACCCATTATGCACTTCGATTACTTGCATTGTAAAAATAGCGCAATTTCTTCATTATTATCTACTATTGTTTTTGGTGAAATGTGCGCTAAATATTATTGCTGAAATGTATAGTTTATCTCTTTTCCATTAAATACGTACATGATATGAGTATGATATGCATATTTCGAGACTAAATAGATTGTATTTACCTATCATTTATAAAAAAATCTGATAAATATTTACCAAATTCATTATGTATGTATGTCTTCATGACATTGTCATCGGGTTCAGCCCGTTGAGGAACATCATGCATCATTGGATCTCAAAATTTCTCAAAATTTTAAGAATATTTATTTAGCATTTGTGGAAAACTCTACGGTAAAAAAATGATATTTTTCTTCTAAAAATTTTGGAATTTTCCTTGTACTTATGTTAAAAAGTTGTTTTCGCGTTTTTCGTAAAAAACCTACAAACCCAGTTGAAATATTTATTTCGTCTTTTATAGGAAATCATGGAAATTTAATTTGTTACAATCTGTTGTAATAAAAATAGGTAGTGAGATTAAAACAAACCGAATCAGTAAAATCTCGTATGTCAACGAGCCATCAAGATTTTGAAAATAATGGTTCACGCTGATTTAAAGTTTTAGGAGCAAAATAAACCAAATTTCGGAAGAAATTTCAGATAAAGTTATTTCAAATTTTCAGATTAGCTCGATATGTAAATAAATAACAAATACATACATAATTCTTATTTCTTGTAACCATAACCATAGACATTTTATTTTATTTAAACTGTAAAGTCGCTTTCATTTAAATTTGAGTAAATATTACCCAAATTTGGTAAAAACATACTTCACACAAAAACACCACTCCCGTCATAATCAAGATACCTCCATTAACATAAAATAAGCCAATTATTTGCAAATTAAACCCAACAGGGTCAACCCTGTCCTGAACCACTTTCCTTTTCAATACCACCACCCACGCTCTTATATCCATCATGCCAATCATTGTACAAATTATAAATACCCGAGTGTACAAATGCCTGCAATTTCCTGTACACATAGCCACACTGTGTATTCTGATACGCTGTAAAAATCCATCCAGATTGAGCCCCTCGTAAAGATTCTTCCCCCTTCACAAATTTAATTTCCCCCATTTCCCTGTTAAAATAATTTAAATAGGTCCCTATCCTAGCACTCTTATCGACAAAGGCGGTATTACCACAGGGCGAAATAAGTTTTAGGAAACCTTCCCTATTTTCGGGGTGAAATGCGACATTTTTCTTCCTTCCGCTATGTAATTCTGACATATTTTTATACAGTTCCAAGAGATCAATCGGAACGTTGACTTGATTTCTTAGCATGACTAAATTTCTACCAAACGGCGTATTTATAATTGAAGGTGTCGCCTTTGTAGTAAAATTCGTTTCAAAAGATGGCGTCGTCACGTTAAAATTCGCAATATCAGTAAAATTCGTAACATTCGTTACTACTGAATCTGCAATGGTACCATCGCAAACGAGGACAGCCTTGTACAAATTAACCAGAAAGAAGCAGTACATGAGGAACCCGGTTTGGAACAAGATTGTTACCGACGTTTCTTCGGTTGTCCTGGGATTCGGGCTGTTTTCTAGCACACACCGCACAACGAATTCCACTTTGTAAGATAACCGTGTGACACGCATGTCACTATTTTTGGTCACCAGGGTTACAAATCCTACCAGAAGTGTGGAAATTGCAATGGTTATAATCCACACGAGCGGGTAGAGCGGATCTAGCAAAATATTTAACGATTCACTTCTCCCCGCTTTCACCCGTTTAACTCCATGACACGTTAAAAAATCAAAGGTTCGAATTTTCCCGAAAACTATTTGGGGCAGTGGTACAGCTAGTCTAGCTTGGGGATTGTGATACTTCAACATGCAGGGTGAATCCTCAACGTCAATGTGGTAATACTTGTCGAAAATTGGATAACCCAAATTTTCCAAGCGATCACTTATCTCTCTGAGTGACCCCGCTCTGTCCAAAGTTCTGGATAAGAGGACACTTATCCTTTTCCCGAAACCTATCTTACCTCCATTTTGATATGATTGGGCAGAAAAGGGGGAGAATGGTGGGGATGAATTTCTCAGAAAAAGCGTATCGAATTTACGGGAACTTTCATCGTCATCGAGCATGGCGACGATATGAATTTGGGAATATTTCCCGGAAACAAGGATAATTTCTTGGTGGTGGTCTAACATATCTTTGCCATACGGTGGTGGCAGTGTTAGCAAGATTATGTAGTTTTCATAGCACAAGAAACAAATATAGATTAATTTCTGAATTTCGCGCTGGTATATTTTGACTAGAAATATGTTTGAAACGAGACGGTTGTTATAGATAAATATTCTCGGTATGAAGATATCGGTGAAAGTTTTGTTATCCAAGAGGATTAACATGTAATGATGTTCAAGGAGTAGGACGGATAATTTGTCTGGGCAACCGTGTGAATCCCTCACTGTCGAGGCTATGGGTGACACCCGTGTGACACAGGATGGACGATATGATGCATTCTATTCGAGGAAAATTGATACGGACGGGTTCTTGAGGAGGTATAAAATACGCGACGCAATGTACATAGCGGCGACGGGAATGTTGAGACACAATATTTTTCTCCCCAGAGGAAGAAAGGATTAGGGGGATTTTTGGGATATAATTGTCTGGGTAGTAGTGGACAAGGGTTACTATGCAGGGGGAGAAAGTTTGGACGAAATTTGTAATTTCCAAGTTGTACGGAGAATTGGGTAATATTAAATTTATTAAGAATACTGCTAATTTTAGGACCGAAGTCATTTTTCTGGGATTTGTTTTGTTTTATATCTTTTTTTCAAGTTAATACTATGCTCTGATCTCGCTTAGGATGTAAATATACGAGCTAAACTTCGAATTTTAGTAAGCCAAGCGCTAAATTCAATTTCATACTTATTTAAAATTTGCAAATTTTGGAATATCTGTGCTTAATGGTCCGTCAAATGTCTATGTACATAAGGGGTGAGTCATAAGTAGTGATCCACTATTTCTGGCTTTCCGCACGCCAAGGAGAGTGGGATAATTCATTAAGTTGTAGTATCCTGGTATTAAGCAACCGATATGGCACACAAAACATGTCATCAGAGGTTGATCGAATCTTAGGCGGAAAATTGGGACTGAAATAAAAACAAAAAGTGAAAATACGAGTGGTGCAAAAGTAAAAAACGCATCGACTTTTGTAGGAAAATCATTTTCCACGAAAGCAGAGGAACATAAAATTAAAAATTCTTTGCTTTTCTCAGTTACACAGTAGCATTGGCTAAATAAATTCCCCACCTTCGGAAAAATATCCTAAGAACCGGCGTCTCAGGCTACACGAAAAGTGAAAACCTATATTTGTATGAACGGTTTTACATCGATTCATCATGGCAACCAAACCACTAAACCTAGTCATCTCAAATCATGGCAGGGTTAACATTAGCCTATTGGGTCTTGAAAAGTGTAAATATCAAATTGCCAATAAATATGCAAGTAACAAAAAACTAACATTATATGCACGAATTCACAAAATTTGCAAAAAGATGTCGCGAGAATAACGGTTATTTTGAAGAGTGCTGCGTGTACCTTAACCATTCTGCTGTCTTCTAACCTAGAGTAGGACATGTCACGGATCATGGACAACAACAAAATGTCCCTAAAGCTTAACAAATACTAAAGTTTTTCAAAATTCTCGGGGTTTTTCAGGATCAAGTCTTATGGAGATTAACATTATAATAAGTTCCGATGGTGATGATATTCCACACGAAAGTAAATTTCAATAATTCTGAGCACATGTTAGTAGACCACTATTCTGTTAACTGCCTCAAGGAAAAAGTTTCAGAAATTCATGCCTTTACCATGCAAAATTCATAAAAGTATGACAAGAAAAGTGGGAAATGAAGGGTTGAAGGTAGCTTGGGCAAATTGTTATCTTTTGGGTTTAAGTTAATCGATGGTCAAAATCTAATTGATTTCTAAGTTAACAATCGCATGGGCTATAATATGGGTGATAATAGCTTGTGTGGTGATAAGAGTTAAGTAAATGGCGACCGTTTTATACTGTATCACTACTTATGACTCACCCCTTATGTTGTATGTAGGTGTCTGGAAATATTTAATCGGACTCTTGTTCCAAAATATTTGTAGATTTACATACATGTATAAGTTGACACCACGAGTGGTGTCAACTTATGTATAACTGCAAAGTGAAGCACTAGACTATTGTGTGCGATATAGATATATGTAAATACTTACGTAGGTACATACATATCTACACATTTAGCCATAAAGAGGTCTCATTTTGGCGTCTATTTTCCGTCCTTTCCATTCTAGTTCACTAAATCCATGATAAAATATGTACATATCCCTAATTTTTAATATGCTCCCTGTCTACAGATATGTGGGTCATAAGTATTTATGGACAACATACTTCACGTCATGCCGTTAATTCATACATATTTGGTAAATATTCTGTAGTCTTCAGAGATTAAATGCTTCATTTTTTACGTGAACTACTTACAAAGTTTATATTACATTTTGCAATGTTAATACCTTCTTGCAAACACAAATACGCGACCGATTTATATTTGCATTCAATTTATGTAGATATAATTTTAGATATATTTTACCAGCGCTAACTTTTTACAAAATAAAAAGTGACCTCTCAAATGCAAACTTACTCTTCAATAGTAATATTAAGACAATTATTCATGTAATAATTCATGACAATATCTTCCCCTCATGGCATGCAAAATAACTTGCAACACACTAGACGCCTGAAAAGGAGTTACAAAATTGTACAAATTGATGGTTAAATATTTAATCAGCACATATTTAAATGATTTGGTTGGATTCTTTTATTATTTTGGTTGGATAACAAAAATAAATCGTTTGGACATTTGATTATTGGAGAAATTATTATTTTTGTTGGGGAAAATTACATTTGCTTTATAGAGTATGTATTTACATATATATCGATGAACAATGAATTGAATTAAACTACTCGTTCTCGTGGAATAAGATGAAGTTATTAAATTGGTTGCACAGTATAGCTCGTTCTGACAAATTACATGTATCATTATACATACATACATACATATGTATATATACTTATGTATGTACCTAATTATACGTACCATTAGAGTATTTCAATTGTTCCTCTTTACACAAGCTGTACAGCTCTCAACTGAATTTTGCTAGGTATATACATAAGTATTTTTTGCGTCACATTGATAGGAGTGGTATCATAAATGCTTATATTAGAAAGCAAAATTACATCTAAAACTCACCCAACAATAAAAACAATATTTGATATAAATATGAAATGTATCTTAAAACTACTCATCCGTCTCCAGATTTGCCACGTGTCCAGCGACACATGGTCGAAAGCTGACAAGTTTAATTATCCCTGACTTATACATTTTTCCACAGATTCTTTAGCCTATCTAATCCGTCATCGAAACCTAAACCTAAAGAGTTGATTCATACGAAGTGACGACCATTTCATCACGTGAAGGATTGACTCCTTCTTCAGCAGAATTTTTGCCCCCACATTTTTTGGAGGCAACCTTTTTCGACACGTCACCAACTCCTTCCCCGCTAATGCCCAAAGCTTTCCTCAAGTCTAAGAGCTCTTGCATCACGCACGCATCCAAATTGTGGTGAATGTTGTCCCCACACCTGTTCAGAATAGATTTTCACAATTTAAAAAAAAATTTTTGGCTCGGAAATATGTATGAAAACCTACTTTTTTAAGGTCTCCGCAAGTGGGGCGGACAGATGTGACGACAGTGCCTGCATCTTCTTCCAAGAGTCAGAATACTGAGTTCGGACAAGTTCAAAGGCTGTGGAACACAAGGCGAGGCCCACGATGAAGTAGACCGAACAGAGCAGAAGGTACTGCAGGCGACCTGTGAAGAGATTCAAAGCGTCAAAGTCAAGGCGCAAAGATGATCAAGTCGTTAACTAAATTGTGCTTAGCAGTGTTTCAGATGCAAGAAATAACCACAAGAAAGTGGTTTCTTGCAGTTATTTCGACCTGCAATAAATGCAAGACGTAAGAAACTACATCCCGTCGCAGATTGCGTCCTAGATTGCGCATATTTTCACTTTCTTGCAGTTTCTTGCACCTTGCATTTCTTTCTTTGCAGTGGAAGAAATGTATCAAACCCGCAAGAAACGGAACACTGCTGCTTATCAGGAAAACTCACTTGGAACCACATCTCCAAAGCCGATCGTTGTCACGGTAATAAAACAGAAGTAAAAGGAGTCGAAAAAGCTCCAGTTCTCGAGATATGTGTAGAGCCAGCTTCCCGCAGAAATATAGATGAACAAGAAGAACACGACCGTCCCAGCAGTTACACCTTTACCTAGGAAATTTTCAAAATTTTCAAATTTAGGCAAAATATTTTAAATCTCCGATATTCATAATTTTACAAAAAAATCGGAATCGTACCGAAAAGTTTTCTCAACTTGGAGGAAGATTTTACCACTTCCGGCGGGGCGCGGCCTCCACAGCCCTTGCAAGCGTAGGACACCGCAGAGGCGATCAACTTCCCCAAATCCGCGATGACCGTCACCGTCAATGGAATTCCGAGGACGGCGAAGAATATGCAGAAAGTGCGGCCTGCCTTCGTTTTTGGCGTCATGTTTCCATAACCTGTAGACAAATGGATAACTTGAAATTAGACTTATGTGATATGGGTGTTATGCAAATTAAGTTATGCAAATCAACCGGAGGCCGACAAATGTACATACATTGCACTTTGTAGCGAAAAGTGTGTAAAACTCATCATAAATATTTACATACAGGGTGGTTTAAATGTCAGCTTACAATGGAAAATTTTTCAGTGGGAAAAATTCACAAATCTCCATTAGTTACCGAAATTTTGCCTCTGAAATTCAATATTTTAAGAATTTTGTCATAATTCATTGTTCCATAAGTTTTGATAAAAATTAATAAAAATCTCAATCCCAAATCCGTAACTAATGGAAATTCACAAATTTTTCCCGTTGAAAAATTTTCCATTGTAACCTGACATTTAAACCACCCTGTATTTAAGTACCAATTGTTGTGAGGACGGTCGTGGCGAAAAAGAAAGACCTGAGATAACTCCACTCTGATGTAACCTCAAGCTTAACGACCGACATTCCTTCCCACTTGACATCGTCTATCAGATTATCGTAGGCTTCCAGTGCTGAAGATAAGGTCGAATTCAAATCGTTCCCCTAAAATCATTGACCATATTTAATTATTTACTTATTGTCTTAAATGCAGAGGGTAAGTACAATTATGTTTTACCACTCTATAATAAAAAGGACATGTTTTATGAATATGATTTATTACATACCTCCTGTGTTCTCGTCACAACGGTGTGAATTAAATTTGAGCGTCCTTCAAGTAATAGATTTTTGTACGCTGTCCTCCTCTCGAGCGATGCTGGTCCTTCCAACTGCTGGAATATCTACAAATTAAAATATCTCAAAATTATGACTGTTGGAGGACTGAAGTCTAAGGTTGCTTAGAACTGTGTCTTATAAAATTCCAACTTGCATGTACTGTTTATTTGAATGCACAATATGATACCTAGCAGATCGCGAGTACTTAAGTATATTTCAAAAATATAGTGCATGTATTCCATTGTGAATATTTACATCATTAACGAATTAGGTACGGCGCAAATATTGGGTAAACATATGTATGCCTACATAAATTATTTGTTTACAGAAAAATGCATGCAAAAAATTCAAAACATTGTTCATTGCTAAATTGCATGATATTTTACTATAGAAAGTCTTCTACAAAAATTCCTCTGTACAGTGTCGGACAGATGTCTACGTCCACATAGTCGCGTCAATTTCATTTTCAAATTGTCACTGAACTACTGAACCAATTTTCATCATTGATATATCAAATTCTCACAAATTTAACGTAATTTCATAGCACATTATTAGTTTTCCGCTAAAAAATTTATTTTAGGCCAGAGATGTATTTTAATTCAAAATGAAAACAATTGGATGGACAAAAGTCAACGTCCAGTCAGAGAAAACATACAAAAAAAACTGTAATTTATAAGGAATGTTATAACAATTAATTTTTAATATTTGGTTGGGCCTCCGTTCGCTTTAAGGACGGCTTCAAGGCGTCGAGTCATTGAGTTTACCAAATTCTTGGTCACATCTTCAGAAATGGTTTCCCAAACTTCACGAATTCTGGATTTAAGGCCCGGAATTCCTGAAAAAGATTGTTTTCTTATTTCTCTTTCAATGTGGTCGCACAGATGCTCAATGGGATTCAAGTCTGGAGATTGGGGAAGCCATTCTAGCTTCGGAATTTTTTTTTCTTGAAGTATTCCATGGTGGACTTGGCAGAGTGTTTCGGATCGTTGTCTTGTTGGAAGGCAAATCGTCGTCCAAGTCCAAGTTTTCGAACAGATTCCTGGATATTACGGTCAAGTATTCCCTGGTACTTGTATTGGTCCATAATTCCGTCAATAAATTCCATTTTTCCTGCCCCACTTGAAGCCATGCATCCCCACACCATTACCGACCCGCCGCCGTGCTTAACTGTGGGGTTGAGATTTTTTGGATTCAAAGCTTCTTTTGGATATCTCCACACTCTACGACGCCCATCTGACCCAAAGACATTGAACTTTGACTCGTCAGTCCATAAAATATGTCCCAGAATGTTTGTGGCTTGGAAATGTGGTCTCTGGCAAACTTCACTCGTTTGGTTGCATTCCTCGGTACAATAAGAGGCTTCCGGACTGCTCTGTGGGATTTCAAATTTCCCTTATTCAGTGTTCTTTGGATGGTCATAGGACTAACCTGTTTGCCGAACATCTCCTTGATCTCGGTAGATAGCTTTGGAGCACTAAGTGAGGGTGTAACGTTGACTTTGTTGAGCACGTGGCGTACTTCTCGGTGAGCCAAAATGGGTTTTCGACCACTTCTGACCTTGTTTTGGACTGAACCATTAGCTTTAAAGTTCTTAATGATTGTCTGGATGGTTGTCCTTGCTAATTTATACTTGGTCCATATTTGTCTCTGCGACAGCCCCCTTTTTGTCCACCCTTCCAGTCCTGAATGACAAGATCTCGAATAGCGATAGGAATTTCCTTGCGTGTCGACGCCATCATATTTTTCTGGAAGAAAATTATTTAAAAATTAATGCGGCATGTGTTATTGATAGATTTATTAAGTTACCTGATTTTATAAATTGGAGAGATTTTTGTTGTTGACAATTAAAGTGAAGTGGACGTAGACTTTTGTCCGCTCAAATTTCATCCTCTCTCGCTCTGCACTATGATTCTCAGTTTTCCCAGAATTTTCAGAAATAACTCATATGTTTTATGAAATTACGTTAAATTTGTGAGAATTTGATATATCAATGATGAAAATTGGTTCAGTAGTTCAGTGACAATTTGAAAATGAAATTGACGCGACTATGTGGACGTAGACATCTGTCCGACACTGTACATTCCATTTGCAGCTTTGTCATATTGTGTATGTTTCCGTACAATTATTTCATGCAGGAAAAACTTCGTTTGTAAATACTCTGGATAAAACTATGCTAATCTCACTTCTAGAGAACCTCCCTGTCTACATACACGTGCATACAGATTTTCTGCACGTGTATTTTCCTATGGGAATCCTCCAACTACACTAAAAAAAATAATAACTAAAATGTCACTTTAAGTCTGACAAAAAGTACGATATTAATGGGGACCTTATTTATGTAAACGTTTCAATTTTCGTGAAGCTGTTGCACCTCGAACGATCAAAGTTTGCAAATAGTTTTTTTCATATGGCTTTATTTGGAATATTAACTTTGCAGAGTTGATTACGTGAAGCTCATCTACTTTGATTACAACTGAAGTTTCATATAACCACTTTTACAAGCGAAACTTTGCATGTCAACAAGTCATTCTCAACACAATTGGAGGAGAATATAGTATGAATTATTTAGTCCTGCATGCACAGGTACACGGGAAACCATCCGTGTTTTTGGCATAGAGGGGAGAAAGTACAATAGTTTTATTTACTTAAATTGATGCCAACATGTACTCACTGTTATATTTTTCGTACATGACACAAATTGGCATCAAAGTTGACCATCTTATACAATAGCACAAAGGCTTATTTAAAAAAGTATCTATGTATTTACACTCATGCAATGCCATGTCAACCAAGATGTTTCACATTGGCGACTATTTAAACGCAAGATTTCCACACGCTGGCACAAATGATGCATGCAGTCATGCACATCAGAAGGGTTACATAAGTAAATATCTAAATACGCCTCTAAAAGCGGGGACACTTTATACAATAAAAGTTTCTTAAAAGTTCTCTTCATTACATTTTAAATATCGTACAATTTGAATAATATATATATAACACTCATTTTGTTATATGCATTATTATGTTATATAAGAATTGAATTTTGTGAATTTGCATTTATATGGCTTTGATATATATCCATTTGTATGGGTTTTGATACGTTTTGGTGGAGGAGATTACGCAATATACAACCGCAAAGTTAAAGAACCCGAAAGTCGCAAATCGTTTGCTGGCACGGTGACACATTTGGCAAGGGAATAGAATCGAGTGACACATCAAGCAAGCAAAGTTATACCCGGGGGAGTATCCTGGTTGATTCATGCGTAAATATTGAGAATGAGTTGGGACGAAATAAATAAATAAATTACACCGCATTGTGTAACCAATGCTACAGATTTGTTCTGTACAAAAAAAAATCTGCAACTCTATTTCCCGTACTTGTTGATTTACTTCCGTTCAGCCCTATATTTACTTCGAAAACATAATTTAAGGAACAATTCAAGCTTACAAATAGTTAACTGTGACACCAAATTAGCGAATTTCAGCAGTATCTTACTAAAGGGAAATTTACGAAATATCAAAATAGTTTAGTCTGTAAATTCTTATCTAACTATCTGAAATAAGATACAAACGAAGAAATATCAAAATTGTCTTTAAGTATTTAATTAAAGACAACTTTCCAAGATTCTAATTTTTTTCCATCTCAATAACACCGACACACACACATACGTGAAACATTATTACATTGATAGTTTTACATACCAGAGCGCCAATTAACGTATAGATCAACAGCCCCATGAAAAAGACAACATTTCCATAAAACCCATCACAAAAACCGGTCTTCTGCTCCACTTTGCACTGATTCTTTTCGTCTTCCATCGCAACATTGAGCTAACTTTCTCCGCTTTGACTTTCACCACACATGCAACCAATATTTATATGTACGTTATATGTACATATGCAAATTAACTATCCATTTATCCGTAAAGTTTAATGCAATTACATGAAAGATGACTTTCTCCTCAAACAGTTTTTTAATTTAGTAACCACTCCCATTCTTTTGGTAAAAGGGGCTCTTTACCCACCAAACTTTACAGCAGAGTATTTGTACAATCTGATAAACTGACGTGCGTGTTTTCAGACTTCTGCACTGCAGGGAACCCATTTCACGACTAATCCTACCGAAATAAAATTCAGGGTAGATACGGAGATTCACAAAGGAGAAAATTATTTATGTATGTATGAAAGTGACCCCCGGACTTTCTTCCGCACAGAAGTTTCTTTTTGCACTGCTTGAAATAAACATAATTTAATGCTGCGACGTTTCAAAGGGCAAGGACATGGATTTTACATTTGCATATTGTGCTAGTGCAGTGTGCATCTATTTGTTATTGTTGGTGGCCTTATGTTCATGGCCTGTCTGTCCGTTCAGCTCATTGATTGGGAACGGTTTATTTATGTCGAACATGGGGATAGCAAAATTCTCTTACTAAATCGGACGCAAAGTTCTGTGTTCTGTTTCTTTAATTTATGTACAAATTTTATGTCAAGTATAAAAACAATTGAAAATCAATTTAGTGAAATTCATAAAATTCAATTAAATATTAAAAATTCATATCTCGGACTAAGGATAAGTGATCATGTACCAACAAAAATGTGCCCATCTTTTGAATTTTATTAGTTTGAAATTATCGGAATTAAAAAATTCTGTGCATAATTTTAAATTTACTATGCACATATTTAGTTCACATGTCAAAAGCCGTATTTATTATAACTTTTGATAATGCAAAAATTTAAGACACAGAAGTACACAATAACTAAATAAAAAAACCGAGTGTTTTATTCCTCGCGTAAATCCAGACTAGGGCTACGCGATACAGCGAGAGTTTATTGACTGAACACAACCACAAGTTTATTACATTCTCATCTTCCTCTCGTCTTCTGGATTTCATCCAAACCTATTCTGCACTTTTTGTCACAAAAGTTGTGTTTTTACTTGTAGTGCAAAGGATGCCACTATTGAGTGAGGGTCTGGTGCATGTTGACCTTCACGTGGCAATTACATCCTGGTACATATATCTCAGGTAATGGACCTGAAAATCTGTAACATGCCTTAAACAATGGAAAAACTTTAGAGAATCTACAAGAATTGGGGTAGAAAGGGCTTACAAGATTTCCTAATTTTTAGGGGACAATTCCTGACATGTGTTGTGTGTATGGTCCGTCCCTCAGACTGAGAAAAAATAGTTCACTGTTTCTCCCAACTTTCTCCGTGGTGAAAGCAATACAACTTGTAAGGTTATGCACAAAAACATTCTCCATTTATCTCAACTTTCTCCTTGGTAAATGCATAAAAACAGCCATATCCACTTCAAATTGATATAGCTGTATCTATTTATAACTCTGCCAGAATATGCATAATTGCATACTTCCAAATTATTAAGCGGAGTATGTATATTTATTGTCAAATACATTAACTTGATTAACTTAATTGTAATTATAAAAATACTTATTATTATTATTACAACCTCCCAACAACAAAAAAGATGAAGAAATCAAAAAAAGAATTATTCTTCCCTGGGCTGGAGACGTAACATCTAAAATCGCTTCATATTTAAGAAACAAAATGGATGTAGATATTGGCTACTTTCCTGGTCCGAAAATTGGATCAATTGTTTGTAACGCCAAACAGAAATTGCAAAAGCCAAGAGCAGGAGTTTACAGTATACAATGCAATTCGTGTCCTGCTGTTTATATCGGTGAAACAGAACGAGATTTCATGGTCAGAATTGCCGAACATCAGAATGACATCAGAAGAGAAAGTACAACCTCGCCTGTAGCAGCTCATATGATAGAAAACGACCACCAACTGGACCCAAATTCCTTTAAACTCGTTGTCCCAGAAAACAGAAAATTCTTCAGAAAGTTTAAAGAAGCCCTGCACATTAAAAAGTTAACGAGCAAAATTAACATATCCAGCGGAGTCAACATCAACCCAATCTGGTCCTCAACACTACTGAATTTTTTATAATTTAACTGTGACTAAGTAACATTTACTGACAATTAATTCCCATTTTTCACTTGTCAAAGGAATGTATTGTTTAGATTTGTATCCGATATCTTTGTATTCTTGCCTGATGAAAATGACAGCAGTTCATTGAAAGCTAGCAATTTTCAACAATAAAATCAAGAAATAATCCCCGAAAACCGCAGAAATGAGTGATCATATAAAAATACTAATCTTACAAAACCTTAGACGTGTTCTTGCTCATTGTAATCCCTTATTTTTTGGCGAAGTTTAAAAATGTGACAAAATTCAAGTTTATTATGCGTTCCAAAAACTTTCTTCAAACACAACTACTTTTTTAACATCTGCTTTGCGCACACATTTGTAAGAAAGTAAATTTCCCCATAGGAAAGATTTTTCACTGTTGTAAATTTTACTGCAAATCTTCTGTGGATCAGTTCACACTTGTGGAGAGCAAAAAGAACACAATTGATTTTTGACGTAAATCTGAAATAAATTACATGGTTGATGTGCAGTCCCAGGCATTTTCACTTTTACTAACGAAAAAAAAAACTTTCCCAAACTTTCGTAACATGCAGCTCGGTTTAATCTGGTCCAGCATGATATCACTTCCAAATCCATCACTTTATCAAATGATCCATTGCGTGCTAACGATTCACCGAAAATAGTGCATTTCGGCCAAGAATGACATGAACTTGCCACTAGCTCAAGTAAATTATTATGTCATGATTTTATCCATGGGAGTAGGGTTCCCAACACCGTGTTTTTCTACATTTTTATTGTAGAATTTAAATAAAAGGTGCAATAATTAAAGTACGGTTTTAAATAAAACTACACCTTCTCGAAGAGAAATTCAGCCCGATTTCCACCCTTAATCACCGGAAGAAATTTGTCAAAAATACGGGATACAAATGGAGACCAATATTTCTTTCCTAAAATCTTGATTGACCTTCAACACGCAATTGACACCGATCACCGTACATACTTGGTGGCAATCACGCAACAAAATAATGAATATTAATCTCATCTGGGTAACAAGTTGGGTAGGATTATACCGAGCTGCATGTTGCGCAAGTTTTCTTTTGTTACATAGCAAGAGTGGAAATACTGATATGTAAATGTGACTATACTTCAAGCAATCATTTTTTTGCCAACATTACTAACGATGCGAATTTTCATAACGAATGCTCTCCATGCTTCACTTACTATGTGCTTCCATCTTTCTATGTTGTTGCGGTAAAAAAATTCAGAAATTTAGAATGTTTTCTTTAGCAGAATAAAGACAATTTTGAGATCTCATCTGGTGTCATAGTTTTTGCAAGCAGTTTTAATTACGGAGAAAAATTTGGTTGAATTTAACCCCCCACTTGATTAGCTGAAATTTCCAACTTACGTAATAAGCTGAGATCTCCTACTGACTGAAATTTCAACTATGTATCTATGATTTCAGAACCACTTAGCCAGTGGTTCTGAAAAATTCACAAGTTAATTCGATTTTTGTACTGCTCATCTCTCAACTATTAATTGACGTGTTAACTCCGTTGACACTGACAGCTCGACACATGAAATTGACTAATTTTAACAATATTTCTCCTACAAGCAATGCTATCATGCAGTTCATGGTAAGAGTCGCATTACAAAAGTAACATTGTACTACTTAAAATCTGACAAATAGTTGCCTGGCACGAATCCACATTTCGAAAACGGAACAGATTTCGGGTTGACATTTCACGCCATCCATTTTTTATCGGGTACAATAATAAACCGAAATAAAAATCAGCCCCGTTCATTCCTTCTGCTAGAGTTGGGAGTTGAAACAAATAAATCACATTAGCAATCACGCCGCACATTTATTTATAAATGGGCTCGATTGGCGTGCACATTTATTTTCGGATACACTTCCTGTACATATTTCAAATCTTTCAAGGACCAAGCCAAGGTGAAACTGGACACCGAATTGGCCGCAATGCTGTGAATTTTATAATTTTATGACCTTTTATTTGGCAGGAATAAAAAGATTGTAAGGGACCTAACATAACGGATGTGATAGACTTTGGGAATGCACCCAATAACCACGGATCCACCAACTATGGCCTATAACCACCAAATATGCATGCAAGTAGGTTGTAGGATCTCAGTTTCCCCATATTAATTACATCCTTCATGCACAGTCCATAATGCTACTCTATACTTTTTATCTCAGATTTAGCTGACTGTTTGTTTGTTGAGGTTAATAATTCTTTTAATTGGATAAGTATATAAAATAATGAGGCAAGCTAAGCAACCTGACATTTATCCCTTATTAACAAAACGACAAAACTGTATTTATATTTCAGACAGGATTCGCATTAAAAAAATCGAATGTCTGAAGTGCTTGCTAAATTACTCAATCCTTCGCAAAATCCGGGGGAAATTTTTTGCAGGCTGGGCTAATTTCATGCTGCGTTCAAAAGAAATTTTATACTATGGAATATGTATCTAATCAGACCTTCTCTCATAGTATGATCGTTGAGCATACAATCAATATACTCTTCACAAAATGCTTTGTAACCTCGTAAACACTAAGGTAATTCACGCAGTCATTGGTAACTTGTAAAATCTGCAAGTTTAGCATAATAATATTACAAGCGTTTGCAAATTGAAGGGAGCAAAGTTTGTAACCTAATTTTCCTTAGAAATCTTTGCAAAAGTTTCCAAGTTTATCGGCAGAATTTACGGAGTTTTCAATGCTATATACCAATGTCTGCGTGAATTGTCTCACTGTAAAATTCGAATACACAAATGTTATACGTATGTACACATTTTTTTAATTTCCAAGAAACAGCTTTTTTAAAACTGGTTTAAAAATGTTATGTACATATGTACGTATGTAAATTACTCGCTATAAAGATTTGCAGTTTTGTCTCATTGCTTATCAATGCTTGCTTACCAATGCTCCAATTCCATTATAAACGAGAAGACCTACTAGAAGTAAAGCAGTCGAGGCATACGGTTTCACACGAGTATAGAAATCTGGTCTGGACTCCTGATTACATGTATTTTGGTTTACAACCTCTCCACTTTCCATCTTGATCCTGAACTTTCTCCACTTTCACTTTCACTCCGTCCACACAATTTGTACTCTGGTCTCTCTCTTTCTTTCACAACTTTTGGGCTGCTTTCTCTCCTTCACCTATCAAGAGATGGGCAAATGAGATGTGATCGAGGATACATAGTGGAACCCAGAATGAAGTCACTTGAGCGGAGAACAGATCGATGTTGGTTGGAACACGACAACTTTATTTCTGAACTCAAACTGAACAAGTGCAGACAAATATATTTATGCAACCAAGACGCTGCAGCAACAAGCTCTGGAGAAAGTGAGCACGAGCTGCATACTTATTTACTGATGTGAGATGAGTTCATATTCAAGAATGATGCCTCAATACGTGGAAGACCTATGTACGTGCATATCAAAAATCTACACGTACCACTTTCTCGGCCCAGGGTCGTGTAGTAAGTGATGCGAACTTCGTATTGCCAATTTCTGTTGGTTAACTTATTTTACAGGTATCCTAAACAACAGGCGAATTCACGACAACCATGGCAAATAAGGATTTAAGATAAATTTCGCGATATTTTGTTAAACGGTTTTATTGCAAAAGTAGGGAACTCTTGTTACTCAGCTTATGGATGGATGTAAACGTGCTATAATTATTGTTTCCGAAGTAATCTGTGAAATATTATTTGGTAGCCTTAGCCTATGTATTTCATAATGTAAAAAGGGTTGACAGAAGTACGACATATGTATTTTTGTTTTCCCTGCTTTGTTGAGTTAAGGAACGATGCGAATTTACCCCCACTTTTGCTAAAACCCTAATTACTTAAATACAAAATTTGCGTCGTAATTTCAGTGGACGATGGGTTTTGTATCGTATATGAAGTTAAACTATGTACTATATCATTACATACTTAGCTTACTTATATACAATTTTCAGACAAAATCTGGATAAATGTACATATAAATCCATACTGATGTTGTGTTATATGGATGCGGATATGCATAAAATAATGGTCACAGTGGGTAATATTCCTTTCACATGTAGTACTGTTATTTTATACATTCATGTGCACACAGGGTTCGCTACCCCGGGTTTTTGAGGGTTGGGGTTTTTGGGGTTTTTGTGGGTTTTTGGGGTATCAAATCTCCGGAAAAACCCTAATGCTTAATGGGGTTTTTGCGGGTTTTTGTGGGTTTTTGTGGGTTTTTGTGGGTTTTTCCGGGGTTTTTGTAGGATTTTGAGGCAGATTGAAACAAAATCCCTTAAACTACTACGTAGATCAATGCTAATTAACTTTTCTGCTTCATCTTGAAATTTTGAGAATTTTCATTTGCGACTTGAATTTCCAAAAATCATAGCATATTTCCAGGTTTACATGTCAAACATGAATTTTGGATGTAACAGTCCAAATCAATGATAACGGTTAAAATTGCATGTTAAAATTGTATATTAAATTAGTTTTTCTGTAATAAATAATTTTAGGAATTCTGGTTCAACCTGCCCCAAAATCTACAAAAACCCACAAAAACCCAAAAACCCACAAAAACCCCAAAAACCCCGGAAAAACCCACAGGGTTGGGTTTTTCTACAAAAACCCCGGGGTTTTCCGAACCCTGTGTGCACATCGATCGAACATTTTTGAATTATTGAGCATGTGTACCATAATTTTAGATAGGCTGAAATTTATTTCATTTTCAATATTGCTTCCTGACCAATCCGAAAGTAGCAGAAGTTTGTTTACGACAGTTTCAAATAATAATTTTTTCCTATTCAATGCATAAATGCGAGACGAACTACACATTAAAAACTCATTTAGTCTATTTATTTGACATCAAAGAAGCCGAAATATAAATACATGCATGCATATTTAGAAATGGGCAATTCCTAGTATTCATAGTAGTCCTCAACTGTTTTGTCTGGAATACAGTGATATCCACTCGAATGCATTTTGAATCCATGGGGACATCGTGTGTCGTGAATATTCACATGCTATTAACGTTAAATTAATAATTAAAATTTATTTACATATGTACATGAAATGAACAGAATATCATTAATTTCAAGACCTGTCGGCTCGAGTAGAAGTTTTTAATTTCTTTCTTATCCAATTCTCGGTCTTCGTAATCACTGGCTTCACTCATCTTCAAGGCAACGACCAGTGTCACGCAGATGAGAAAAAGTGCAAATTTCATTATTAGTTTAAAATTGACTAAAAGTAAATAAGTAAAAATATGTATGAGTTCCGCTCAACTCTCAAGTTTACGAGAAAGTAAAATCAGGCTATTAGTTTAGTATTTATTACATGCATGGCAATTATAGATCAATCTACTTCAATCAGTCAACTTCTAATTCGACGGATGTTGTGGTTGACTTTATGGTCACTAATGAATTCTGGGTACAGATACCTGCAAAAACTAACCGCATGCACAGCCACTAATTTGTGGCATAAGATTCCTTACTCACTTAATTGTACACATTTATGTACATACATATTTACTATTATAACTAAACCAGTCTACTTTATTAACTTTGTACATAGTTTACTAACCATTATGTGTAGCATTCATGCAATATGCATATTTAGATTTAGACACATGTTTAAATCAAAGCATTGCATTAAATAATTTCACGATCAGACTTAATTATGCCATATATGCATTAGGTTAGGTAAGTTATGTAAGAATGAAGAAATAAGAGTGCACTAAACTCTAAGAAAGCTGGTATTAAATAATTACTGGTCCGGTAACATATATGACTCTACTGGTAAGGTAATAACGGGTACTATCGTTTAGTAATGTTGTGGTAAAGAAGACTTCTTTACTTATCACTCAAGAACAAACTTTTACCAGTCCGGTAGGAAGTTATTACTTTATTACCTAATGTTGTATGTAGTGATGTTTGTTTTGAGGAATCAAACGATTTTGCACAGGAAATCAGACTGAAAACAGTATGCATGGAAAATTGCCATGCAAAATTTCACGAACAAGATTAATTACCCCTTAAAGGCTGGGTGGAGTCATTAGTTGTTTATTAAATTAAATAGGCAAGGGTTTGATAATAAACATATGCATGGGTTTGAAAGTCCATTAAATATTACCGGTTTTACATGTATGTATTTCTGTCTGTCTCATCCTCAGTATTTTGGTATGCTTCATTGGTTATGTACATATAAAACTCACCATATCATATGCGGTCATTCAACCCCTTCCTTCGACCTTTCAGTGAAGGGCCCTGCATTTCGATTTCCTACAATCACACGTGCCCTTATGCAAGCATGCATGTGTATCTATTTTTACATGTATTTGGAGCAAGAAAGAAAGTTAAGCCTACTTTTATTCATTTAAGTATAGACTTGTATTCGTATGGAATACAAGTCCAATAAGAAATGAGAGTATTATAGCTTCATATACATATGTACGTACATAAATATGTACACATATCTATCTTCACCTGAGAACGAAATTCATTTTAATCGTTCATCATTTGTAGCGCAACCGAAACTTAAAATACAACTTTGTTATACCATCTTTGTACGATTTTTTGTACGATTTTGATCCCTTAAAATTGATTTTATCAACCTACATACTCATCTATCGACTTCAAACGTAAGGAAGACACGTTAAAACACTGATATTCTTCAATTGTACAACTTTAGTTTGATTTGAAAATTGCAATCCTGGGTACCGATAGGTAGCTAATTTCATGTTTTGTTTACCCATTAATATCAAACTTAATGTATGTATTCATAATAGAAATTGTATTCCACAAATTCAGGATTAAAGAATAGAAAATTTTTATTGTAATTGCTCTATAGGGGCCGTTCATAAATTATGTAATGCAAAATGGGGGATTTTCTAGACCCTCCCTTCCCCCTTTAACATTTGTCGCATAAGCACGATACCATTGGAGCCTTAGACCCTCCCCCTATCGCGTTATATAATTTACGGTCAACCCCCTACAGGATAGATATTTGTCGTTTAGAATTATCTACATCAACGTAAATTAATTTCAAAATCAAATAATATATTTTGAAGACAAATTCATGGATTCTGAGGACATTAATTATTGTAAATATGACACTAGCTTTCGGAATGCTTATTCCTTCATCAGGTCTTTCAAATTCGATAATTAATTGAAAAAACATGTACATCATTTTTCCGTAATTTTGGATATGAGTATACATTAGCAACTAAGTTACAGGACCAAATTTCAAAAAATTCACAAGTGTTGAGCACCATATACTGTTGACGTTCATTCCTTTAGATGAGTTCATGATATTAGTTGAGCTTCTGATTAGTAGGGCTTCCTTGAACTTTGAAATTTTCTTGGTTCCTTCATAATCATTTTCAGAGATGTTGTGTCAATCTGATGTTGTTCTTCAGCTGTGTGGAGGAAAATGGGTGCTTAATGTTTGATCTTCTTACATCGTTTTGGTGTTCTGAAAAGCGTTTATCTATGCATCTTCCACTTTCTCCAATATATTTTTTGGGACAGTTCGCGCAATTAAATTCATAAATGCCTGCATTCAGTGGTTTTGATTTTTGTTTCATATTGCATACCAATGTTGATACTTTTTGTCCAGGATAATATCCAATTTCCCATGATAGTTTCCTGCGCAAGAACTGAGCAATTTTGGTAGTTGGCTTTCCTGCCCATGGTAGAATTACGCGTTTTTGTATCTCATCGGTTGGCTGAGGGTGTACAATTTTTTCTTTGACGATGTTCAGTCTCCTTTTTATCATTTCTTCAGGGTATCCATTAGACTTCAATGTGTTGGTTACGAAGTCAATCTCTTCGTTTATGTGGTCATCATCGCATAGAATTAGAGCTCTTCTTAACAATGTGTCACATACGCTTATTTTATGAGCATTAGGATGGAAAGATTTGAAATCCAAATATTTGTTGTTATGGGTGGGCTTTCGATAAACGTAGTGTCCAATTTGTCCATCGTTTTTGTCATACAGCATTGTGTCCAAAAAAGGTAATTTCCCTTCTTTCTCTACTTCCAGAGTAAATTCAATGGCAGGATTGAAATTATTCAGTTGATCATGTATGCTTTTAAGTTTTCTCCCCTTTGCGATGATGAAGGCGTCGTCCACAAATCTTCTCCAGAAGTTAATATTGAGATTATGATGAATAGTCTGCATTTCCAGCATTTGCAAAAATAGCTCTGCCACTAGGGGGGATATTGGGGACCCAATTGCTGCTCCGCCGGTTTGATGAAAGTACATATCTTTATACTGAAAATATGTAGAAAATAAACAAAATTTAAGTAACTCCATTATGTCATCTTTTGATAAATTGTCGGAAGATTCTTGGTATTTTTGGTCTAGTTGACTTCTGATGTAAATCAAAGTCTCTGGAATTGGTACGGTGGTGAAAAGTGATTTTAAATAATATACGCAATATGCAAATTTCTATAACATAACTAACATTAAATGTCTTAAAAACATGACTATTTACTTTGAATATTTTGAAATAGGAAATTTCTCCTGAAATTTTTCTTATTTCCAATTGGAAAATGGAAACTCCGCCGGAAAGAAGTGTGCAAGAGATCGCACTAACAAATCCGATCGTAAGCCGAATAAATTCTCAAACAAAACTATTCAAATTTTGGAATCAAAATATGTTCCAAACTTTCAGATTTTGACTACAATTCTGCAAAAGACCCCAGTCTCCTTAAAAGATGCACGACTCGTCTGCAAATTTTGGAATGACATGGTTCTCACCCTGCCAAACACGCGATTTGCATTCACCCTGAACGACGAGTATGAACGCAGAAACTTTGAGGACGAAGAGACGGAACTTAAAGCCGACCCGCTTCCATTTTTCGCAATATGTTCCACCCTCGACCGCCGACTCGCGAAACGTATCCGCGCCACCTGTGACACTGCAGCGTTAGACACCCCCCTAGTTATTCCTTGCATAAACACCTTCGCCGCTAAACTGCTGCACTTTTGCGACAAGTTTACCGACATTATGCAAATTTTGGAATTTTCATCTATAACAAAAACTGTTTACCATCTATCAAGTTTTAAAAGATTACTGCCCGAATTTGAGACAGTGACTTTTTCATTCTCTGAGTATGACATTCTGAACAGGCAAATTCTTCCCGTGGTTCTGACCCCAAAACCGAATTTGACCATGTTGAAGCTCAATTCCCAGCATGAGACCACTACTCCAAGTCTTATCCAGCTGGTTATCAATGTCTCGCCAAACTTAAGAGAGGTCACCATTCCGTGGGGAGTGTATCCAGATTTCGCCCATACTAAACGCCTCGACTCCTTAACGATCGCACTGAGCGATCTTTACGCCAGCGATATCGGTCACTTTAACCCCGCCGAATTTTCGCGAATGTTACGTCAAGTTGACGACCAATTGGTTACCCTTTGCTTCGGCGAGACGAATAGGACAATTTACATATTCGGGACCAGAGTCTGGAATCAAATAGAATTTCGACTGCCGAGAAAGATGCCGAAATTAAGAAAGTTTCGAAACGTTTTGTTCGACGTTTTTCGGTGTGACGATGTCTTGGCAGATTTAGAAAAAATGCCTGCCTTGGAAACGCTCGTGATTGGAAAGACCAATGCAACAAAGTCGACCGCCTTGCATGAATTTTTGCAAAGGATTTTCGACGCGGATAAGATTTTGGGAGGCGTGAAGGATTTAACGATTATTGAGTTGTATGATCCCAATCTTTTGGCTGGGGTGAAAACAGCGTTTCCGAACTTGGTGAACTTGCGGGTGAGAACGTTTACTGGGAACGCGGATTGGAGTGAGATGAAGTTGGGCGTAGTCCTCCAGGCGTGTACGGGTTGGAAGGGATTGAAACGTTTGGAGTTAATGGTTCCAAGCTATCCGAGACAAATGGTGGGTATAATTCAGGCTCTGTTCGATGCCATGGAGTTGTTCAAAGGTCAGTACTTTTCGAGTTGAAATGTTCTAAAATGTTGACAATTTGGTTACTGCATTTTTCATAATGATATAATTTACTTAATTTCAATTTGCACTTCAGGACTGAAAACGTTGAAAATTTGGACAAGTGATTGTCTGTATTTAAGGTACAAATTGACCGAGAGCGAGACGGATCTGTTTGAGCAACTCCTTTTGGCAATGGATACAATGGATCAGGTCATTATTCGGAATATCGAGGTGAATTATTACACATTTGGTTTAATTACTTAATATTAATCAAATTGTGTAATATTAGTTTTAATACAGCCTAATTTGTATATTTTTTTACAGTTCGACGAACAATCAATGAGAACTATATTGAATTTCATGATATCAAACAAACTGTCCATTACAAAGTTTAGGATGTTTGAAGGACAAGGGTATTAATCCAGTGCCAAGGATTAATTGAAATTTTAGTTTGTAACCAGGCTCGACTTATGTAAATAATACGAATTTGGTTTATTTTTCGACATTTTCTTATTATAAAACTAGGTTTTGCTCTATTACATCCTTACATATCTTTAACATTTTGATAACTTGAAGGGTAAAATCGAACAATAATTAATCCCGGATGGGTTATAAATCATACGTAAAATGATATTAATATTCTGCATATTTGTATTACAATATTTGCGCTTTCCATTCTATTCGAATACAATTCTATATTGAATAAATCACAACTTAAGAAACTATTAATTGCTATAAAAAATACATACATCCCAAATAATCATGTACCGCACGCGTTCAATTTTGTAAATGTGTCATAAATTTACCACATTGCATATATGTATGTAAATAACCTCAGGCATGCATAGTGTACAGCTTTAGAATGACAAAAATTGCCTTACACCATGAAATGACCAATATTTAATTCATCATTAATTAAATATTATGCCGAAACTTGCTTCGAATTTTAACCTCTTACCTACGAAGTACAAATATTCGTGTAGTATTTTATTTTCTGTTAACGAAATACAAAATTGTGTGTACCGCATAAATTACCCTGAAACCAAAATTTCTGAAAAAGGGTATTTCATATTGTGGACAGCTCGACGATAAAAATGGATTTTTTTGACATTTGTCTTCCCAAATTTTAGAAATTTCCCGATATCGACCAATGTTTTAACTCAAAAATTGGAAACTGTTTGAAAACTATAATTCGTTTCTATCCGGTGTAATAATGAGATCTACAAATTTGTACATCGTACCGAAGGGAATTATTAATAAATCAGTAGTACGAAAGAGGTTAACTAACACGTTTCTAAAATATCATTATGCATCTTACGTTTTCGAATATGTGTAGAAATCGCACTTTGCATCTTGCATAGAATATCTTTCATGCATGACATATTATGCATTTTGCAGCATGTATAATACTACAAAAGTAACTTACCCACCCATGAAAACAAAATATTATTCGGCTCATCACAATCACATTCCAAGTTACAAGATACACTTTAATATCAATTATGTCAAATTCATTCAACAATCCTTTCAAGCATTCCGTCGCAAACAAAGCCACACCCAAACACAACAAAACACAACAAAAGGCAAACGAATATTTCATCGCTTCATACGACACGGGCTCCCATCTAGGGGTTCCAGTCCCGGGATTTTTCGGGATTTTATTCCCGGGATTTTTCGGGATTTTATTCCCGGGAATTCCCGGGAAACGGGATAAGCAAAATTCGTAAGCAAAATTTTTAATACAAGATGGAACTTAAAATTTTCTAACTTCGATGTCAGATTTTAACTTGAGGCAACAAGAACACTTTATTTTCGGTATAATTATGGAATCTGAAATCAGTTATGCCAAAAAATACTAACACGTTAGAAGTGATTTCGAATTTTAGTCGATGAATTTAAGGCTGAATGAAAGGCTTTTTGAAGGTAGTTCATATATTTGAGCTTGAAATTTTTAAATTGCCAAATCCCATGTCCAATTGTATTTTGTGAATAATGGTTCACAATTTAGGCCAAATAATACTGACGAACGTAAGTTTGTGCATTTCTGGTTAACATGCTAGCGAATCCTTGATTAATTATTTATGTTTTCTGGAATGAAATTATCAAACTTTTTCTCTCAAAAAAAGACGAAAATTGAGCTATCACAATACATCGAAATTGTACATTTACTATGGCAGGCAAAACACTATAATCGCTAATTTGTATTGCTATCCTATATGCATTTTGTATAGGCCAGAAAGTAGCATACTTTATAATACTTATGCATGCACAAATCTCTAAAACACATCATTAGGTATGTAAATAAGTATTATAAATGAGTAAGAATTATAGGACTCGACAAAGACATCCAACGAGTATTTCAAAAGTGAAATTAAACTATTTTATTATGTTCACCTTATAAAAAGAAAAAAAATTGCAAACTATTTTAGGCGCCAAAATTTTCCCTGGGGAGTTATGAGACTTTTGGGATTTTAAAGTGATGGCATAGGGAACAACTTATTTCAGGAACGGGTTGATGGAATTGCACAAAATTTTTCTCCTACACTCTTTGGATCAATACCTTGGTGCGTTCTTCGAATTGAGTCGAAATTCCAACTTTAAAGCCAAAAATTTTAATTTCGAAAAATTGGTTTTTAGTTGTGACGCAAAAAGTATGGCGAAATGTTCGTCGATTGGATTTACCCCAATTTTTGATATGTTGCAGATCTTTGGTAGTAGATTAATAGTTCAATTACCCTAAACGTCGAAATCGACATGCGTGACCTTTTTCCGGGGGTCGAAAGGTCGCGATGTCAAAGGTCGCCGACCTTAATAAATGGGATATCGTTGGAAAGGTCTTGACGAGAGGATTCCGAAAATTTATACTTTGTGGGGTCTGGGACCACCCCCTGCAAAGCTAGAGCCAGGAGAATATTTTTGAGTTTTTCCCATTCGGGCTTCCGTGTTAGCTCCCTATCCACTGCTATGTTAAATTCTGGACAACTGCATATTTTCGTTCTTTGCCCTCTAGACTTGCATAGGGTCATCCCAGACCCCACAAAGTATATATAATCCTCTCGTCAAGACCTTTCCAACGATATCCCATTTATTGAGGTCGGCGACCTTTGACATCGCGACCTTTCGACCCCCGGAAAAAGGTCACGCATTTCGATTTCGACGTTTAGGGTAATTGAACTATTAATCTACTACCAAAGATCTGCAACATATCAAAAATTGGGGTAAATCCAATCGACGAACATTTCGCCATACTTTTTGCGTCACAACTAAAAACTAATTTTTCGAAATTAAAATTTTTGGCTTTAAAGTTGGAATTTCGACTCAATTCGAAGAACGCACCAAGGTATTGATCCAAAGAGTGTAGGAGAAAAATTTTGTGCAATTCCATCAACCCGTTCCTGAAATAAGTTGTTCCCTATGCCATCACTTTAAAATCCCAAAAGTCTCATAACTCCCCAGGGAAAATTTTGGCGCCTAAAATAGTTTGCAATTTTTTTTCTTTTTATAAGGTGAACATAATAAAATAGTTTAATTTCACTTTTGAAATACTCGTTGGATGTCTTTGTCGAGTCCTATAATTCTTACTCAAATATGCTCAGGCCAGGTACTTTTTATAGCCATGTACCTTTTTTTCCACCAAAATTGACTAATTTCAAGTTATATGGTAAGATTTGAATTTCGGGAAAAAATCCCGGGATTTGTCACGGCTAAAACCGGGATTCCCGATTCCCGGGATTTAAAAAATCGTCCGGGATTGGAATCCCTACTCCCATCCCGAAAATTTCCTTACATCATTTCCTTCCACGTGTAACATTTTCCGTAAAAAAATACTCCTGCTCCTTCCTTTCAAAAATATGTCACCTTGTCTCCTCTTTTCCGCTAGGTTTCCCAATTTCCTCCACCGCCCATAAATTCCAGATTGCTCCAGTTGCCCCAATCCCCAGGAGTACAAAGGGTACAGAAAATTACGTTTTCCTACCCAAGGAACGCGACTGTTGAACGGAGTCATGGCGTGATTTCGCACCACGATGGGGTCCAGAAATGATTTAATTGCTTCCATAAATAGGTCAGTCTGGATGACGCGGTCTAATACAATTATGGGTAAGCTGACCTGAATGATGGCCTCATTTATTGAGGTCACCCCAACCTTCCGACTTATGTTGGAGGCTAGCTGAAATTTATTTCCGGAAATGTATTTCGTCCTTTCCCTTAAGGTTTTGAGAAATTCTTTTCTTCCGGTATTTCGTATTCCCGCCGAAAGATCAGGTATTAGTCCCTCCGTCAAGATGGATGCTGTTACCCCATTGTCAAGCAGGACATCCGACATCGTCACGACATCCCAATCAGTGTCTTGAAGCAGTTGATCTAATTTTGATGGTACGTAGGGACCAAGTTTGGCCGTCATACAGGAAAAAAGCTCCCCTTGGTACAAATTTCCAAGTAAAAATATAACCGTGTACCAAACTCCGATAAATGCTAACGCTTTCCCGCCACAATTTAAAAATTCGGCCGATGTCCAATCTCCGTCATTTTGGCCGAGTATGGTCGAAATTGTCCAGAACGTTTTGTCCCATATATTTGTCCCCAGAGTAGTTTTCATCCGAGATAAGTATACAGTTGTCAAAATAACGCCGAAAACGCTGAGCAGCGTTAATACCCAAGTTTCAGAGTCGAATGGCATTATCAAGGTTTCAAAACTCATCTCAATTTTTGGAGTGATAACCAGAAATATAAAAGGTAAGTAATCTATGGCATGGACATACCACACTTTTCTGTTCGGACCTCTCTTCATGATAACTTGCTCATTGAAATTTTTATTCGCGAGATTTTTAAACGTGGGAGTGCTTACCGGCAATGTATAAAACTCTCGTGTCATCGTAAAATTCGGGAACATGTCTTTTCGGTATACATACTTTGAGAAATTATATTTCTTTGCGATCACCTCGTCGGCACAGACCTCCCGCGGAACAATATTTCGAAAATTGTAGGAAACGCAATCATCAAGATCTTCAGGTTCTTGCTTTCCGATTATATTGAGAGCGACAACGACTCTATTTTGCAAATTACTATTATATTTTCTCCAAGCAGATGAAACATTTTGCAGTGACGACAATCTCGGCATCGCGATAACCTTCTTTTTCCACGGGATGCAAAGAATTTGCAACGGGTAGTCATTCCGGAACATGACGACACTGGAAGTCACCGACGCGTCTGCCCAGTAAGATGTGATACTTGCATGGATAAAAATATAGGTCGGATTTTCGTTCGATAAGCCCATTCCGAGCATAATTCGATGTAGGAGACGGTCCCAATTGAGCATTTCGGGACCTGGATCGAGTGGTGGGAGTAGAAATGTGCAACTTCTGGGGTCAAATCGTGGAGAGAATTTTGAAAATGCTGTGTTAAGTGGGACAGATTGGTTGAGCAAATTTTCATAATTGTACCGCGATTGTAGGACATCCCAGTTTGGGACGTTGTCAAGAATCAAGGGACAAGACGGATTTGCGGAAAGGATTCCGTGGAAAATAAAATAGTAAGAGTGGTTATGCAGGTCTTGGAAATTTAAAATAAATTGGAGAGTGATATCTTCCAAAAAGTTTGATTGGTATAATTCCAATGTAGAAGAGAGTGATGTAGATGTAGTTAAATAAGCAATTAGCCTTATTACTTCTAAATTCATGGTGTCAGCGATTCTTAGAAAATTCCGATGTTAATAGATTTTCTATAGCAGGGAGAATATTTTGCACGCTTAATATACAACAAACAAGGTTTGGACGCAAATCGTATTAAGAAGATAACAATGCTCAATTCGTTATGGGCAGACTTATCGATTGGGATAAGTACATGCAGATATGGAGCAGCTAGGGTGACCAGACGTCCTGGTTTTCAAAAAATGTCTCGGTTTTGATAAAGTGTCCCGGTTTTAAAAAATCGCACATTTTTCGCCAAAGTATTTTATAAAAAGTAGATTTTACCACATAATACCAGTGCCGTGCAGATAAGATCTGCTTAACTCGCTTTTCTGCAAATTTTTCGCCAAGCACTATAGATATTATTGACAAATTTTTTTGTCTAAAATGTCCCTGTTTTAGTCAGAATAATTATGGTCACCCTACTCGGAGCAGCTAAAATTGTTCCAAGTCTAGGGAATTAATGATTATCGACTTGAAGTTTGTGCCAAAAATTATTGCACCCAATTTGGTAATTTATGTACTTATGGTAGCAACTTGAATTCCAGACAATTTATCTGTCGTTGAAAGTTTACATAGAATGGCACCATGAAATTCAACTTTTGTCTAACGACATACAAACGATGTTGGTATTTGTATAAGTGTAATCGTTATGACCAGCTTTTAATTGGGACAAATTATAATATTACTGTATATACACAATATGCATACTGTCCTCGTACTCGCCTCTGTCACCCCATTTGAATATTTTAACGCATTCGTGAGAGTCATAGAGTTTACTCAACATGGAAAGCTCGTATCGCCGAAAATGGGCTATTGAGATTTATGCAAATGAGGTGACACGCCTAAATGCGAGGATAGTATTTACATATATGTAAATATGCATAGGATGGTGAAGCCATAAAGAAATAGAACGATCGCCATGGTAAAGTTAAAGTTTGAAAAAATAAATGTGTGGCATTAAGCACTCGGGTCTTTCCCAAACTTCTATTCTTCAAAGCACCAAAGTAAATGTAACGTTTAATTAAAATTGAGATTTAAAAATTATTTAAAATGACTTTCCACAAATGAGCCTCAACATGATACCAATTTCAGGGGTATAACTTTTATTTATTTCTCAATATATATAGCTTTCTTTATGTACATACATACATCTGTACATTATTATGCATACATTATACCAGCAAAGTATCGTGCCCACCCATGAAAACAAAATGTTATTCGACTCATGACAATTACACCCCAAGTTACCAGATACACTTTAATATTAACTGTTTCATATTGATTTAACAATCCTATCAAGCATTCCATCGCAAAAAAAGCCACTCCCAAACCCAACAAAACACAACAAAAGGCAAACGAATATCTCATCGCCTCATACGACAAGGGCTCCCACACCGCAAATTTCCTTACATCGTTTCCTCCCACGTGTAACATTTTTCTCAAAAAAATACTCTTGCTATTCCCTTCCAAAAATAAGTACCCTTGTCTCATCTTTCCCGCCAGGATCCCCAATTTCTTCCACTGTCCATAAATTCCGGACTGCTCTAATTGCCCCAAACCCCGGGAGTACAAAGGGTACAAAAAATTACGTTTTCCTACCCACGGAACGCGACTGTTGAACGGAGTCATGGCGTGATTTCGTACCACAATGGGGTCAAGAAATAATTTAATTGCTTCCACAAATATTTCCGTCTCGACCTCACGGTCCAAAACAATTATGGGCAAGTTGACCCCGACCATTCTTCCATTCGTTGAGGTCACCCCAACCTTCTCACTAATATTGGACGCGAGCTGGAATTTATTTCCGGACATTAATTTCGTCCTTTCCCTCAACTTATTGAGAAATTTCCTTGTTTGGTTATCCCGTGTCCCCTCCAAGAGACCAGGTATGAGTGCCATTGTCAAGATGGATGCCGAACCTCCGATGCTTAGTAGGGCTTCCGACATCGTCACGACGTCCCAATCAGTGTCTTGAAGCAGTTGATCTAATTTTGGTGGTACGTAGGGACCAAGTTTGGCCGTCATACAGGAAAAAAGCTCCCCTTGGTATAAGTTTCCAAGTAAAAATATAACCGCGTACCAAACCCCGATGAATATTAACGCTTTTCCGCCACAATTTAGGAATTCTGCCGCTGTCCAATCTCCGTCCGTTTGGCCGAGTATGGTCGAAATTGTCCAGAACGTTTTGTTCCACGTATTTTCCCGTAAAGTAGTTTTAATCCGGGAAAAGTACACCGTTGTCAAAATAACACCAAAAACGCTGAGCAGTGTTAGCAGCCACATTGCCGAGTCGAAAGGCATTATCAAGGTTTCAAAACTCATCTCAATTTTTGGCACGATAACCAGAAATATATAAGGTAAATAATCTATAGCATGGACATACCACACTTTCCTTTCTGGACTTCTGCTCATTATATGCTTCTCGTTGAAATTCTTATTCGCAATGTTTTTGAAAGTTGGAGTGCTTGTTGGCAATTTGTAAAAAATTATAGTACCATTCCGCAATACGTCTTTCCTGTAAAGATATACCGAAAAATTATGTTTCCTTGCGATAACCTCGTCCGCACAGATGTCAAAGGGAATCATATTTCGAAAATCGTATCTGACACAATAGTAAAGATCAAAAGGTGCTTCCAAGAGGATTGGATTGGAAGCGACCACACTATTTTGCAAATTTCCGTTGTATTTTCTCCAAGTGGATGAAATGTTTTGCAATGTTGAGAACCTCGGCATTTGGACAATTTTATTTTTACACGGGATGCAAAGAATTTGCAACGGGGCATCATTACGGAACAAGACGACCCTTGAGGTCAACGACACATCTGTCCAGTATAATTTGATACTTGCAGCTACTCTGGAGTCAAGATGGATGAAAATATAGGTCGGATTTTCGTTAGATAAGCCCATTCCGACCATAACTTGGTGTAGGAGATGGTTCCATTTGAGTAATTCGGGACCTGGATCGAGTGGAGGGAGAAGAAATGTCAAAATTCTGCGGTCAAATCGTGGAGAGAATTTTGAAAATGCTGTGTTCAGTGGGATGGATTGGTTAATTAAATTTGCATAATTGTATC